TGGCAGGGGACAGCTAGTTATACATACTGGAACTTGAGCATCCACAGATTTACTATCCAGGCTCCTGCAAACAAACCAGTGGCTTGTGTTGAGGCCAAAGGATTATTTGTAAATGTTATTTTCATTACAAAAGAGAAGGGGCAAAATAGCAGAAAGTCACAACAGATTCCCTGATATAAGGTTCTGGAAATATGTAATCTGATCCGATTTCCACAAGAGAGGAGGAGCTTCAATCAACTAAGAGTCTTATGACAACTTAAAGGCTAATAAACTACTTTATCATAACTTTATCATAAACGTTAATGACCTCAGCCCACTGATAATGTTGACCATAGTCCACAAAAGCTTCTGCCATAAAACATATTATTTCTTCAGGTACCAGAGGACTCCTGGGTGTTTATTTCATCAATGTGGTAAAAGGTTTAATAATTTGTTCCTTCCTACAGCATGTTCGTGGATTGACCAGTGATAGGCCAGCTCAAATCCCCAGGTTTACTAAGAAGCCATGGCCAGGCACTCTCCACTTAATTTTCCTTTTAGGGTTGTTGTAAAGGGGCATTATGTATGTCACACTGAGCTTCTTTGAGAGAGGGTGAGAAAATACATAATTCTTTCTATATATACTCAAAAAAGCAACAAGAGCAAAAGGCCAGGAAATTAGAATAATAAATACTCCTGTGGACATGCTTTTTTTTTAATCCTTGAATTATACTAATATTTCCACAGAATCATATCTCAAAAGGCACTCAGTCCAAGTTCTTTTTTTATCCCAGTGGATGAAGGTTGGATAAACACACAGATTACTGGATCCCAACAACTATGCTTTCAGTTATTAAATAACCCACAACTTCACAAACCTCTACATACTTCTGGAAAGTAAAACGATTGTAACATTTTCTTTTCCATTCCTTTTAAAGAAGCACATAGGGATAGAAAAAGAGTTGTTTGTCACATACTTTTATGTTTCACATTCACACATGCATCCAAACTGGCCCCTACTGAAAAAGTAACTAAGCAAAAGTTGGGAGCTTTCAAACAGAGCCTGGATGGCCCTCTGTCAGGAGTGCTTTGGTTGTGCTTTTCCTGCATGGCAGGGGGCTGGACTAGATGGCCTATGTGGTCTCTTCCAACTCTATAGTTCTATGATATTAACCCTCAGTTAATTGTCTTAAAGATTAAATCTATTAAAAGCATCAAACATACAAAACACCTTGTACTAAATGAATGTTATTTCTACAAATGGAAGTTTCAGTGCAAGAAAACCTGTAGTTTTAAAGGATGGTTTGAGTGTTTTGTAACTATCCTTAAGCTGTACTACCGGAACATCTAGTCTTGATATAAGTGAAGTCAGAAGGCTGACTGTATACAGGCTTCCCCAGTGACCCCGAACACGTATTGCCTTTCTCTGAAGTTGCTTGGGGTTGTATTTCATGGCCATGTCTGCATTACTATTCAATGGTGGAGGGAACTTGGGAGAGGAGTGATGAGAAGCCGGATGCCATATCATCACCTGAATATCTGTCATACATTTTATCATAAAACTACCTTTTGAAAATGATTTTGAAACAATTCAGAAAGTTCTGTAGGAAAACATATCAGAAAACCCAGTTTTAAAAACTTCTCTGGAGACTGCCCAGCATCATATGACTGAGATAGGAATCACTCTCCCTGAAACAAGGAATTGAACCATGAGTTAACTGTATCAGGTTTCTTGCATGGGGAGGCAACATTTCATACTTACTTGCAAGTATTCTGTTACTTCAGAGAGCGTTTTGTGTCCACAAATAACTCAGGCTTCCGCATGAAGAAGTATTGTAACAAGCATGCACAAGTTTGTTTGGCGTGATCTTTCATTGTGGGGAGCTTAACAACATACTGATGCTCCTGTAAGTTGTGATCTACCAGCAACAGTTCATTTATACAATTGGTTATACAATTCATGTCAGGAGCAACTTGAGAAACTGCAAGTCGCTCCTGGTGTGAGAGAATTGGCTGTCTGCAAGGACGTTGCCCAGGGGATGCCCAGGTATTTTGATGTTTTACCATCCTTGTGGGAGGCTTCTCTCATGTCCCCGCATGGAGAGCTGGAGCTGACAGAGGGAGTTCATCCGCGCTTTCCCCAGATTCGAACCTGTTGATCTTCGCTCCTGCCAGCACACTACCGGGGGCTCTAATTGGTTAGATTAATAAACCCACTTTTCCTCCAATAAGCTCAGGGCAAGGTACATAGCAATCTTCCTATTCTGTTTATCATTACAATGACCTTGTAAGATGAGACTGACACAGAGTAACTGCCCCAATGTCATCTAGAAAGCCTAATAGCTTTGTTAGAACTTGAATATGGATCTGATTAAATCCATGCTCGATTGGGAGCTGAACAGGCTTCCTTTGCTCATATAGCTGCTGGTCGGGGGGCATTCAAGGAGTCAAGTGTTAAGACTACATCATCCTGATGAATATTGAGCAGCTACAGGTCTGCAATAAACAATGCCAGCCTATATTTTTTAACTTTTGTACAATGCGAATTTTAGCTCTATCTGGATTAACTCTTCTAAACCACCCAAGTCCCAGGAAAAGGTGGCTATAAATAACAAGCCACAACTCTGGAAACATGTGTAAGAAGAAACCAATGTAGGTTGGACCAATTACCTGTTTCTCTACCATGTGAACGTTCCCCTACTGGGAGGTCAAATTCACATGGGAAGAAACCACATTAGTGTTCCCACCCACAACAGTTCATTCCTTCCTACGCTTTCTTGAGATAACATGCAATCACGCCAGAGGGAAGTAGCAGTCAGGCCACTGCAGGGAAGTGTGAATCTCAAAGTAGATTCACACTTCCCTGCAGTGGATGTCCTCCAGGATTGCCACTGATGTTTGTTTTTATCACATCCTACTCTGTATTGAAATATTGTATGTCTGTTCTTGCTTTCATCCACTTCGCTTCATGGAAGCCATCTCAGATGAAATCATATGGGATTCATTTGACATTAAGAATGGATGTTAGAGTGGGGATTGGCCAAATGCAGTCCATAAACAACAAGACACCTCCCAGGACTCCCTTGTGTTTTTTAAAAAGTTGAAAATGCTTGTTTACTCTTTAGAAGCTGCAGGGGGCAATCTTGCAACATTACTCGTCCCCAGTCAGTTTGCTTCTCCAAAAACTAGATATCATATGACTATTGTTAATTTCCAGTTTTGCAAAAGCAAGCCAGGAGTGTTGCAAAATTGCACTCCAGGAAGTGCAAATAGCTTTTTAAACGCAGAGGATATGAAGAATATATGCAACTGTATGACATCCAAGAAAAGACTCTGTGGCTCCAACCCTCTCAAAATTGGCCTCCCTATGCTAGAGCAGATACATAAACCCTGTAAAGACTGTAACTACTTTAGGCAAGGACTGTGCTCAGCTGAGTCCCTTGAATTTATTTCGTGTCAGGGCAGCCAGTCAATTATATTACATTTCTAACAGAACAAAGCAAACAGACATAATACAAAATTTGTGAGTTTGGTAGTTGATTAAATGTCCTTTGACCAGTATGGCCACTTGGAGTGCTTCTGGTGTTGCTGCAAGAAGGTCCTCCATTGTGCATGTGGCAGGGCTCAGGTTGCATTGCAGCAGGTGGTCAATGGTTTGCTCCTCTCCACATTCGCATGTCGAGGATTCCACTTTGTAGCCCCATTTCTGAAGGTTGGCTCTGCATCTTGTGGTGCCAGAGCGCAGTCTGTTCAGCACCTTCCAAGTCGCCCAGTCTCTGTGTGCCCAGGGGGGAGTCTCTCATTTGGTATCAGCCATTGGTTGAGGTTCTGGGTTTGAGCCTGCCACTTTTGGACTCTCACTTGCTGAGGTGTTCCAGCGAGTGTCTCTGTAGATCTTAGAAAACTATGTCTAGATTTAAGTCGTTGACGTGCTGGCTGATACCCAAACAGGGGATGAGCTGGAGATGTCTCTGCCTTGGTCCTTTCACTATTGGCTGCTACTTCCCGGCGGATATCAGGTGGTGCAATACCGGCTAAGCAGTGTAATTTCTCCAGTGGTGTAGGGCGCAGACACCCCGTGATAATGCGGCATGTCTCATTAAGAGCCACATCCACTGTTTGTGGTGAGATGTGTTCCACACTGGGCATGCATACTCAGCAGCAGAGTAGCACAGCGCAAGGGCAGATGTCTTCACTGTATCTGGTTGTGATCCCCAGGTTGTGCCAGTCAGCTTTCGTATGATATTGTTTCTAGCATCCACTTTTTGCTTGATGTTCAGGCAATGCTTCTTGTAGGTAAGAGCACGGTCCAGAGTGACTCCCAGGTATTTGGGTGCGCTGCAATGCTCCAGTGGGATACCTTCCCAGGTGATCTTCAGAGTCCCTTGAAGGTATCAAGTTATCTTATTCCTGGGTTGCTGTAAATTTTTCGGACTCTATTTTACCAGTTTGATCCAGAAACAAATCTAATAAACAGCCCTGCAAATGGAGAATATCTCATTAGGCCTAATGTTGTGGGGTCACCATCTTGCAAATGGCTGAGACTAAGGCTATCAGGGAAAGTCATCTAGCAGTAATTATTTGAAATTCCATGCCCACCCTATGAAACCCATTCATCAGCCACTTGTAATTATGATTATATTGTACAAACCAAACTCATCACCTGGATTACTAAATTCCTGAACTATCTGAATCACTGGCTGACACACTGTTCTTATTCTTATCAGAATATAAATGGAGTACGCAGGGGAAGAAGAGACATTAACTGCATGCTTGGCCACCTTAACGTTAATTTTAATCAGTTTGTGCTTCATATTTCAGGTTAATTTTAAAGGATATATTTGTCGGTATTCATCATAAGTATACTTAGATGCTAATAGGACAAATTTATGTTGTTTGTACAATGATTTTGTGGAAAATTTCAGAGAACAAAATCATTTGACCAAAATCTCTTTTTCTCACATTAAAACTCGATGACTTCATCACAAATCACTACATGTGTAAAATTCAACACAGTGCTATGAATTTGTGTCATGTTTATTTGTTTGATTAACAGGGGATTTAATAAATCGTCTGCAAGGAAACTGGCAGAAAAATAAAGATATTTGAATTATCTTACATGTAACCACAGTAAAATTGTATAAATAAAGTTCAGCTTTATACAACATCAGCAGAAATATTAACACTTAAAGAGATCCCGAGGGACTTGGCTCTAACCAGTCACCAGGACTTTGGATCCCTCAAAAAAGTACTTTTGACTTCTCCAGAGCAATACTTTGAATAAAAGTATTTAAACACATCTGGTTGAAATACCAGTCCAATGCAATGCAATCTCTAGTTAAATATCCAGCATCCTCTATGAGCCTTTGGTTTTGTCCTCATCCAAAGGAATTGGATTTTTTCTTGCCATAGTAGCAAACAGTGAATCCATCATCCCCAGGACTTCTAGTAACTCTACTTGATGTTCAATTTCTTTTTCTACAAGTTCCTGAAGTTTCAAAAATTGCTTGTCGATAACTGGAGACTGTCCAACAACTGGCATATAAATATCTGGCAATAAAAAGAAGAAAGTTAATGTAGCGTCTGCACTTTGTGGGAATTGAGATAAGAATATTATACATTTCCAGTATTCCCTCTTGCAACACAATTATGGATGGGACAGAAGTCAGAGGTCCACTTCAGGGCTACTACAGCATCTCATGTCCTGCTGCCACACACACTTAATCCTGTTTGTCCCACTGCCTCATTTGCCTTCATCCAGGAGGAAACACAGGACAACCTGGACGCAGAATATTCTACTACAGAACCAACCTACCAATGGTTATTTCCAGCTATCATGTTATGCCTGTGCACACTATCATGAGAATAACTGCAGTCTCATAGGGGGACTCTTCCACCACTAGCAGACAGCCACTGATCAGTATCATCCCAAGGCAGCCCTTTCAGCCAGTGGATCTGGAGGGAGACTAATAATAATAATAATAATAATAATAATAATGATAATAAATTCATAACCCACCCTATCTCCCTGAGGAAACTCAGGGTAGTTTCCAGAAAAATAACTCAGTGGTAAATGTGATGGCACGCCAGGAATGGGGGAAAAAAACTATACATGTCCGGCTATTTTCCCAGTGACCATCGGTATGCCCTATATGTACTTTAATTCCCCAAAATAAGACTCTGGAGACAAGACTAAATGGAACCAATTAAGTTTACTGAAACAATCAAGGTGAATCAAACAAAGTATTACAAAGGCACAGTTTGATTATTGAATGATATAGAATTAGAATAGTGAAGTACTGATATAAAGTACAGAGGTAAGTATAAATAACAGGAGACTATGAGATATAATGATGGTATGTGCTCTGAGGTAAAACAAAACTATATTCTATGAGGTAAGTACTCTCTATGATGGTACAGCTCTCATCTACGGGGCAAGTACATCTATGTTCTTTGAGGCATGTACTGCTCTGATTTTTTAGGCAAACACCAAATTATAAACTCTAAGGCCTGTACTGCTCCCAGAAATCCTAATAGCTGGTAACCTGGGGACCCACAGGTTGAGAACCACTGTGCTACATCCATTTTTGCAGCCCCAGTTTGCCAGCAAACCCTCAAACATCCACTGGGGAGAAAAGCCTTATATCACCTTTCTTTATTGAAGTTATGTAGTATTTGTGTGTGTGTTAAAAACCTGGACGGAAATTCTAGTCACTTCTGTGGGGGAGGATAGTTTGTGTTTGAGTGTGAGCTGAAGTTTGTTCCCGAGGACATTAAAATAGGCTCCTGGGGATGCCAAAGTTGCCTGACTGTTATCACTTTGCAGTGATAAGGCAAAATATTTTTTTCAGAATCTTTGTTAATATTGTCGATTTTGAGAAGGAAAATGCCGACCTGCCACATAAAGACTTGATCTCAGTCATGACTAGAGCTGCTAGAGATGAAATGTTAAGATCTTTGGAAAATACAGGACTATCCTTTTACCACTGGCTAGACAGGCTTTTGTGGACTGTTCTAAATGGAAAATTGGCAATACTCAAGTGGCAAGGGGAGAAATAGAAATAGACAATTTGGAGAAATATGGAATCAATGTTTTCCTCAAGTTTCAGATTTAACCACCAATCAAGGCCTACCATTAACACATTTTGGCATAACAGCCTTTTTTATTAAAAAAAAAGATTTAATATAAAGACTATCATTATCATGAAATAGGTTATATGAATGACACAGTAGTAAAGTAATTCAATCCTAATGTTTTTCAAAAATATCTGTGTGTGTGTGTGTGTGTATATATTAAAAATGGAAAAACTTTACATCCAGTTTTTTAACACACACACAATAGCCCATAAAATGTTGAATATCTTCAGCAAAGAAAGGTATTTCCCTTGAAGGCTGGTATGGGAGTATGCATTGTAACATTTTGTAGAATGTGGAAACTATACCAGCATATAGCTACTTGAAATAAAAGTATATTTTTATGCTCTTTCTTATGTGTAACAACAAATAACGACAAAATGGGATATTTATTACATGTCAGTTATATTAATCTTGTTTAATTTTAATCCTTACCAATGATCATTTCTGCAACGTTGACCAGCACAGGAGCAAATCTTTCATCTGTCACATGGCTGTAAATTAAGGTAATAAAATCAGATGTTAACATTCATTCCCAGGTACAGAAATGTTCACATCTGTGACTCATTGGAGGCTATGTTCCTTCATAAAGAGAGAGAAAGGCAACAATGGAAAGGCCTCACTTCCACTTATTAAACAAAAGTTAAACTGAATTTTCATCAACTAAAAAGAAGCTCTTTCTACCAGTAACTGTCTTTGGATTCAATAGAATCATAGAGTTGGAAAAGACCTCATGGGCCATCCAGTCCAACTTCCTGCCAAGAAGCAGGAAAATCACATTCAAAGCACCCCTGACAGATGGCCACTCAGCCTCTGTTTAAAAGCATCCAAAGAAGGAGCCTCCGCCACACTCCGGGGCAGAGAGTTCCACTGTTAAACAGCTCTCAAAGTGAGGAAATTCTTCCTAATGTTCAGATGGAATCTCCTTTCTTGTAGTTTGAAGCCATTGCTCTGCGTCCTAGTCTCCAGGGCAGCAGAAAACAAGCTTGCTCCCTCCTCCCTATGACTTCCCCTCATGTATTTATAGATGGCCAACGTGTCTTCTCTCAGCCTTCTCTTCTGCAGGCTAAACATGCCCAGTTCTTTAAGCTGCTCCTCAATAGAATTAGTTGGGAGAATCCAAAAATGCTTCGGGCCAAGAAAAATAATCCACTGCTTTTTGAAGGAAACACTCATTGCACATTTTTTTTCCTATTTTGTAGCACAAGATTATGGGACTCTGAAATCATAGCTCTGGCATGGGTCATATGGTGTCAGCGTCAAAGATGAGTATGCTAAATCTTTGCTATAGTAAAGCATTTGGTTGTACGAACCATAACATACGATGGGTTCTACTTAAACACATGGCTGAGCTGCAATATTTGACTGCCATGATGTGTTTCCTGCACACAGAACAAGAGGACACAATATGGAAAAACAGGATGGTTTCAAATTGGCAAGGGGAATCAGCCATGGTTGCATTTTATCACTCCTATCTGTTTTAAGTTTATGCTTTTCTTTACATTTTTCTTGTCAGGGGCAACTTGAGAAACTGCAAGTCGCTTCTCGTGTGAGAGAACTGGCTGTCTGCAAGAACGTTGCCCACGGGACACCTGGATGTTTTTGTTTTTTTTATGTTTTACTATCCTTGTGGGAGGCTTTTCTCATGTCCCTGCATGGGAGCTGGAGCTGACAGAGAGAGCTCATCCATGCCTTCCCCATATATGTTTATGCTGAACATATATGTAAGGCAGAAACAGTCTCTGAGGAAGAAGGTGTGAAAACTGGAAGATGGAACAACAACCATTTAAGGTATACATATACCAGCAGAAAACAATAATTACTTTAAAAAGCCAGGGAAGGAAGTGCAAAAGTTTACAGTTGAACATTGTTGAACAATCCTCCCCCCTCACACACACACACTAATAATTTATATTATTTTATAGTAGATAGTGAAGATATCGAAGTAGTTCAAGATTTTGTTTGATGTTATGCTTTACAATTTAATAAATGAACTTCTTAAAAAAAAGGAAACCCCCACATCTGTCAGGTACCTTATTAGAAAAGAAAGGAGGACTCTCAGCTGTTCTTCATCTCGCCCCGCAAGGGCATTTTTCAACGTTCCCCTGCGGTTTAAGTCTTGCATGACAGCCACGGCAACTTCAGGGAAGTTATTTTTCCCATGAGCCTTGAAATACAAAACATTTAGCATCACAACTTTGAAGGAAGACCATCAAGAACATTTTAGCAATTCAAATATTTTCCCAATCCATAAAAGGAGTCATTTAGAATGTATTGGTTGTATTCAAAATTAATTCATGGGGTACTTGTGCTCTTTCTCTCCCCAATCCCTAAAATATTCAATCATTTGAGGCTGTGACACCAAAAGAAAACCAGCAAACCACATGTGTCAAATTCAAATGCTCTGTCTGAACCTGTGGAGCCACTGACAACCATCATAAACAATACTGAATTCAAAAGGCCAATGATCTGACATTGAAGAAAGCAGTTTTCGATATAAACTATAAACTCATAAAGTCTGCAGGGTAGGAGACAGAGTTTCCCAACAATGTCTCCTTGCAATGTTGTATGTCCCACTGGTAGCAGTAGTGACTGTGCTGCATGCTTGTACAATCTTTAATAATCGGATTGCGGGATATTCACTGGAGATGCTGTGAGTTTTCCAGGCTGTATGACAATGTTCCAAAAGCATTACCTCCTGATTCCCCCAGGCAGCAACCAGCCAGGCATTGAAGCTGCAAGGTCATTAAATGCTAATCAAGGTAGCGAACCGCAACACTGACACTTGCCTCAAGCAGATAAGAGTTCTTTCTCCCACCTTGGACATTCCACAAATATATAAACCTCACTTGCCTAGTTTCCAACATACCTCTCAACATCTGAGGATGCCTATCATAGATGTGGGCAAAACGTCAGGAGAGAATGCTTCTGGAACATGGCCATACAGCCCAAAAACTCACAACAACCCAGTGATTCTGACCATGAAAGCCTTCAACAACACATATTCACTGGAGAGTTTCACAGAAGTTGAGTATCCCTTATTTGAAATGCTTGAGGCTAGAAGTGTTTTGGATTTGGGTTTTCTTTTTCCAGATTTCAGATTAATTGTATAATACATATTGAAAGATCTCTGAGATGAGACCCTAATCTAAACATGATATTCATTTATCTTTACTAGGGGTGTTGCATACACAGCCAGGGGATAAATCATATACAAAATATATTCCATAATTTTGTGTGAGAGACAAGGTTGGTGTACTGTCAACCATCAGAAGGCAAAGAGGACATCATTTCAGCCACCCATGTGGACAATTTTGGAATATTCTGCATTTCAAAATTCTGGATAAGTGATTCTAAGCCTGTAGTTTATCAGAATAATATGGTCCAAAAAGAACCAAGTACCATCTTACATGAAGTACTGCATCCAGAGCTTTGGAGACCTCAAAACCTCTCAAGAGTTTGTCATATTTCTTCATATATGCTTTCACAGGTTTACTGACAAAGAAATCATCCTGAAAGGGGAAAGGAAGGGGGGGGGGGGGGAGAGAGAGAGAGAATATTCAGCGCCACATATAAGAAAACTTTATGTCAGTGTCACCTTATACTTGTTTTGCACCGTTTCCTCTGTTATTGCAATGTATTGCCAGATATGAAAAAAAAAACACTTGCATAGGGAAAAGATTAATTTCTCTGTTTCAAGATGATGCATACCTGTGTAGCAGGAGACACTATCTTAGAAGAGTTATCTCCTACTGTGGAACAAAGAAAATGCAATGCATTTTTAGTGTTTAGGACTACTAACTAGTATATTTGAGCACAAGCTGACCCAAATATAAGCTGAGGTACCCAAATTTACCACAAAAAACTGAGAAAACATATTGACTCAAGTATAAGCTGAGGGAGGGAAATGCAGCAGCTACTGGTAAATTTCAAAATAAAAATAGATACCAATAACATTACATTAATTGAGGCATCAGTAGGTTAAATGTTTTTGAATATTTACATAAAACTGTAATTTAAGGTAAGACTGTCAGTGTCCAACTCTGATTAAACCATTATTTTAACCTTCTTCAGTGTAAATGTGCTTACATATCTTTCAAATAATAATAAAGAGAATAAAACAATAACTGTAATAATAACTAGCTGTGCCCTGCCACGCGTTGCTGTGGCCTTTAGTAAGAGTTTTGAAGTCTCTGCCTGGCCTCTCTTCCTTCCTTCCCTCGCCCTCTTTCCCTCTCTCACACTCCTTCCTTTCCCCCCTCTCTCTCTCTCTCTCTCTGGCATCCCTCCTTCCTCCCCCTTATTTATGCTTGTGTGTAAACTTGAGTATCTTCTGTTGGTCATGGGGGTTCAGTGTGGCATGTTTGCCCCAATTCTGTCGTTGGTGGGGTTCAGGATGCTCTTTGAGTGTTGGTGAACTCTGAATCCCAGTGACTACAACTCCCAAATGTCAAGGTCTATTTCCCTCAAACTCCATCTGTGTGGATATTTGGGCGTATTGAATGCTTTGGTCTGGATCCATCATTGCGCCTTCAAAGTCGCCCCCTCCCTTCTCCCCACCCCTTCCCTCCCTGAGTCACTCCTTCCCTCCTCCCACCCCCTCCGGAAAGACACGCCCCCTCCCTTCGCCCCACCCCTTCCCTCCCTGAGACACTCCTGGAAGGAAAGGGGTGGGGTGAAGGGAGGGGGCGTGTCTTTCCGGAGGGGGTGGGAGGAGGGAAGGAGTGACTCAGGGAGGGAAGGGGTGGGGAGAAGGGAGGGGGCGACTTTGAAGACACGCCCCCTCCCTTCGCCCCACCCCTTTCCTCCATGACTCACTCCTTCCCTCCTCCCTCCCTCTCCGGTTAGACACGCCCCCTCCCTTCGCCCCACCCCTTTCCTTCCAGGAGTCAATCAGGGAGGGAAGGGGTGGGGCGAAGGGAGGGGGCGTGTCTTTCCAGTGGGGATGCGGCGCGGCAAGGCTTGGAGTGGGGTGGGGCAAAGGGAGGGGGCGTGTCTTTCCAGTGGGGATGCGGCGCGGCGAGGCTTGGAGGCAGCGTGGGAGGAGTAAGATGAAGGAGGGGGTGGAGGGAAGGGGGCGGGGGGAAGTGGCGTTGTTTGTGTGTGTGTGGGTGCCGTGGGGAAGTGCGGTGACGTGTTCGTGCTGGGCGGGGCGAGGGAGGGAGGGAAGTGCGTTGGCCGGGGAGTTTGCGGTAGTGCGCATGCTCAGTTGTTTTGCCGTTTATTGTGGTTGTTGTTGTGTGGTTTTGATTTCTGACTGGATTAGTTTGTACCTAGTGGGTTGCTCTTGGGGCATGGCAATTTTGGTGGAGTTTTGTGGAGGGGTTTTAGAGTTTTGCTTCCCCGTAGGACGCCAGTAGGAAATTTATAGATATAGATAGAGTAAAATAATAAATGTAATAATAACAATAATAAATAGAGAAAAATAATAAATGTACTACTACTACTACTAATAATAATAATAATAGAGTAAAATAATGTAAATATAATAATAACGGAGTAAAATAATAAATGTAATAAAAAATAATAACAACAGAGTATATAATAAATAACCTTAACTCGAGTATAAGGGCTGGAAAACTCAACTTATATTCAAGAATATACGGTAACTCAAAACCATTTAAAAATTATTCTAATTCAGCCTTTTCCAAATAACATAGCAGTGAAACAAATTATTTGCTAAATGTTCGTATCTTATTTACAAAGATCAGCAGCTGTAATACATAGCTAGTTATGTTCAATTTACTTATAAAACAATGTATCACAGGATAGAATATGACTAAGCTGAAATAAAATTGAATTTGTACAGACATTTGATAAAAATGAAAATGTAATTACTTATGTAGCAGTGTGATAAGGCAGTTTCATGATTATAGTATGTACATTTTGTGCTTAATGAACTGTTTTCCCTGCTAGATTTTCAGTTGCATACACTAGACATAATTTCTTGGCTCATCCTTTTCTCCATACCTGTTTTGGCATGTAATTTCGTCCTTTCACAAAGGTTCTATAAACAGGCCTTCTCCTTTTGTTCAAAAGTGCCTTTCCTCCTTCGTGCTTCCTATGCTTAACATTGAGTATTCCATTCGTCATGCCAACAACAAGAGTTTCATCTTCAGGCTGAAAGGAAGAAAAAAACATTAATTGTAGTTCAGACTATTTCTCATGATACCTTTGTCATTTTATAAGATAAATACTTTAAGGGGGAAATGGATTCTAATAGGAACAACTCAGTGTCATGAACAGTCCAAAATGCAAGCTTAACTAGTAGTAAATCCCCCTTGTTTCCAGATAAGCACGTATACGACTGTGTGGCCCAGTACTTGATAGATTAGGTGATCTGTACCAAAGCCAAGAACATTTAACTTGCCAAATTCAATGATTCATACATTTATTTACAATTAAGATGACCCAGGGAGTTTTGTACACAGGTTACCACAACCTCCCAAATACAATAAATACCCAGGCAATTGCATGTACAACAATACCAAACGTCAAACAATGCCCAAATAATGGATACTGAAATTCCCGATAGAGATTTCTTTTGAAAGAAAGAATCCACTTGCTCCTTCCATGTTTGCATTACAAGCCACAAGGCATTTATTTATTTTTTATTATTTCATTGTCTATATAGAAAATAAAATCAAAATAAAAAAGAAAGAAAGAAAAAGAAAAAAACATACAAAAGAATCAACAGGTTTACAAAATAGTATACAGCGAGTGCTAGGTATACATGTGAGAAATCAAAATTGGCTGTACAGTTATTAAACCTTAACACATCTTATCCCTCTAACCCAGCCATACTGGGACTTCAACTCCCAGAAATCCCAGCCAGCTTACCAGCTGTTAGGAACTGTGGGAGCTGAAGTCCAAAACACCTGAAGGCCCAAAGATTGGGAACCATTGCTCTAACCCCACACCTGTGAGCACCCATGACCTCCGATGCCCCTCAATATGGATTACATAACTAACCAGCCACTACCCATATGTCTTCTTTCACTAAATCCCCTTTATGACAATCATCAAATCTACCTTTGTCTTCTTTTCCTGATACCCAAGTGCCACAAGGCATTTAAATTAACCTGCTTAAGAGAATTCATTTATGGTCCATATAAGGACTGGAGAATTTGAGGCCTGACAAATGCTATAAGACTATCCTTCCCATCAACCCAATGCAAGGAGTAGTGAAATTTACAGTTATAAAAACACCTGGATGGCCAAACATTCCACACTCATTCCTATATAGTACAAAAGCAGATTATAGATTCCATGGAATGATTTTTCTCCCTAATCACCCGAATAATCTAATAAATAGAAAATGTTTTATAGACAACAGCGCAGTAGCTTTTAAGCCAGTTCAATGAAGCATGCCATATTAAGCGAGGATTGCACCTGCCTTCCACCAATACTTGCAACTATTAAGCATTTTTTTATTGGCAAGTCAAAATACTCTTAAAATCGTGATAGAAACATTATCTAAAAGCTTCATTACAGTACTTACTGCTAGTGCAAGACTGAGAATTGATGCTTCGTAATTAAAGCTGTGGACAACTTTGTAAGACGTTGTACTGTAAACCTTGACATGCCTGCAAACAACAGCAAGAACATACTGAGTTCAGAGTTAAGTTTTGTACAATATTTTAGAGAAATCTGACTTTTAAGAAGGCTCAAAAAGTACAAGTAACTTCATGAAGCTCCCTATGTTAAAAATATAATGAGGAATATAATGTGATTACCAGGAAGTAATCCTGCCTCATCTGACCTGAAATATTTTATTTTGGGGAAAACCTTACACTGCCCCAACCCTGGAAAAAAATCACAAGAGGAAAAAGTGGTCTCACAAGGACATATATAGGCGAGCTTATTCTCAAACTGAATTAAGCTTATTGGAAAGTATATGCCAAATTATTAAACAGTGAGATGACTGAGGTAAGAAATACTGGATTAGATCCAGAAATTGTTCCTGCATTCCCTGAAAAGGGTTCTGTACTCTGCAGGTTCCACAGTAGCGTTTCTCAAACTGGGGGTCAGGACCCCTGGGGAGGTTGCGAGGGGGTGTCACAGGGGTCATCAATTTTGGTCCAGATCCATCATTGTTTGAGTCCACAGACTCTGGATGTAGGTGAATGACAACTCCAAAACTCAAGGGTAATGACCACCAAACCCCTCCAGTATTTTCTGTTAGTCATGGGATTTCTGTGTGCCAAGTTTGGTTCAATTGCATTGTTGGGAGAGTTCAGAATGCTCTTTGATTGTAGGTTAACTATAAATCTGAGCAATTACAACTCCCAAATGACAAAATCAATCACCTGTAACCCCACCAATATTCAAATTTGGGCGTATCAGGTATTTGTGCCAAATTTGATCCAGTGAATGAAAATACGTCCTGCATATCAATTCGTAACAGTAGCAAAATTACAATTATGAAGTAGCAACAAAAATAATGTTATGTTTGTGGGTCACCACCACATGAGGAACTGAATTAAGGGGTCGCGGCATTAGGAAGATTGAGATACACTGTTCTACAGGATAATTTATTTCCTTAAACCCCCCTTCTGTTTACAGAAAGCACTCTCCAAGCCACTATCATTCCCATTTTGCTCAGACTCCATATTTAAAAGCCTGGATAAAGCTACACCATATGCACCTACCTTGCAGTAAATGCCATGTAATTGCAAGGTAGGTAAATGCCATATATACATGAGCAGGTATGTTCAGAATTATACTGCAAATCGTGCACGGGAAGGATATGCAATCATAACTTTATGATTAGAAGAAAGGAATATGTAAGGTACTGATACCCCATCTACTGATTTGTCAAAAATGTTTCACAGACACATATTTGAGCTTCTCTGGTTATTGAGATCTAATCCTTCACTTTAACTAATGTGCAAAGGAGAGAAACAATGTCCATATACAAACAAATATCCTTGGGATGCTGCTGCATTATATGATCTATTTCATGTTCTGAAGTTGTAAATCACAAATACAGGGTATGAAAACAGTTCTGTGTCCAGGACGATTCACTTACATGGAATCTTTTCTGGAAAGAAATAGGAAACTAAACAGTAAAAAAACAAACCTGTCCAGTGAGCCAGAGAGCAACCTCTGTCCAGAACTACTTAGACACAAACAGGTTACAGTTTTATGGTGATTTCTCAAGGACACTAGCAACTGCCCTCCTTTAAGCATATCCCAGACTTTGACATACCGGCCACCTAGAAGAGAAAGGATAAGTGTTTTTTATTTGAAAATACATCTTTCAAAAGAATTATCTTCAATGCCACTGAAATAAATAATGGAGCCTCTGCTGGCGCAATGGTTTAAACCCTTGTGCTGGCAGGACTACTGACCAAAAAGTGGGCAGTTCAAATCTGAAAAGCAGAATGAGCTCCTGCTTGTCAGCTCCAGCACCTCATGTGGGAACATGAGAGAAGCCTCCCACAGGATGGTAAAACATCCAGGCATCCCATGGATAATGTCCTTGCAGACGACTAATTCTCTCACACCAGAAGCGTCTTGCAGTTTCTCAAGTCACTCCTGACATGGAAAAAAAAACCTCAAAATAGTCATAAACATATTTTGTCTGAAGCTGAAGTCATGCAGGACATGTCCAAAAAAGTTACCAAAAATATGCCTTGCAATTGAAAGAAGCTAAAATTTTAACTGATAGCCATTTCTGTTTCTCATTCATCTTATACTTGCTCTAACTCAACATGAGATGTAATCAATGATGGACATTCCAATGATAGATGTCACCAGTGGAATGATGAAGGATAAATTTCCCACCAAATTCCATCCACTGAAGCTTTAGCATCCATCCCTGTTTCTTGGACAACCCAAACTTTTCAAAATCCAATTGTCATAAGGACGGAAAGTGACATGAAATCTTCTGAATTGGGCACAGACAGCAAAACAACTTTCACAGGGGTCTTAACCCTTTCCCAAAACTAATTGGGGGTGGAGTTACACTTTTAAAATGGACTTGTTCCAACTTACATACAAATTCAACCTACAGAACCTTGTTCGTAACATGTGGGCTGCCTATATATGAGGCCCCTCGTGGGCTGCATGTCTCTTTATAATTCATAAGTTTTGAAGGCCTCTTTTCAAAGCTACAATCCAAGACACTCTGGATCACAAGCTTTCATAAATGGTGCCAATACCTATGGCAATACTCCCTTGCCAATGCTGTTTATACCTTTCAAATCATATGCAAGGAGGAAAATTCGCCCTTACAAAAAGGAAATAACTTTAAACTAGTTTTATATTAGGAAACACTGCCAACTCTGGGAAAATACCTGCAGTCACAAGAAGACCTCCAGAAGGAAAGAGATTAACACTCTCAATTGGCTGCCCATGTTCTATCGTCATCACACTTTTTTCTCTACGAGTATCAAAGACTTTCACAGTGTGATCGTATGAACCTAGAAGTAATTACGGAAAAGGGGAGAATCCAAAAATTGAACATATGTAAAAGAATGTTATGTTAATGTAGATGCAACACTCAGAAATAAAACACTGATATTACTGAAAATCCATTGACTTCAGGTAATGACTAACTTATATTTCTCTCCATGCTGAACTATTATAATGTAAAACTGATTGGAACGTACACATGATTTATGCAAGTATGGTGACCGATAGCCAAAATTATGTGAGTAAAAACATAACTGAAACTATCCATTAAAGGTATATTTTACTATGTCAGATCAAATAAATTAGTTTGGTATATCTCTTTTCACTCAGAATACAATTACAAATTTCTTTTATACCTTACCACTACATAAGCAGTATAAAACTATGAAGGAAGGAAAGTGAAATGAAATACATGCTAGAAGAATTCTAAAAAAGGTGCTCTACCAGCAAGAAATCACAAAAATCCTTATCTTCTAACTGACCAATGAAATGTTAAGCATGTACAGACTAGAGAAGCAACAGCAGTAAAAACTAATAGCAAAAGCAATTTTTGTGATGAAAATATCTACCAAGAGAAAGCATTCAGGAAGCCATTGTGACACATATAAATATAACATAGACTACACACCTGTTACAAAGAGATCTGCATTCAGCTTACTTGTACAGGCACATCGCACATAGTCTGTATGCTCATTGTAGGATATTATTTCTGAGGAAGATGAAATGTCCCACACCTTTGCTGTATAGTCATCTGCTCCAGATACTATGCGGTACTTATCAGAGAGAAAGCCCACAACATGTACAGCCCTACAAGTCAAGACCCAAAATATTCCCCATGAGACTCTTGTATTAAATAAATGCTATTAATCTGTATGACCATTTATAACGATAATAAATGTCCAGTAAGGAAAAAGCAAACTATATACAGAAGTGTTAAGAGCTAAATCCAGGATTCCTAGATCCTAAAGAACTTCTGCTCCGTTTGACCAGGCTGAACACTTCATATAAATGGGTGTTGTGATATAGCTAACTAAAGAGCCAAAATATGTTTTCTATTCTTATACACCAAAATTATCTACATGGGATCAAAGACACATAAACCAAGTCTACACACAAAGGATTTCTCATTTAAACATGTTATCTGAACAACTAGAAACAGATCAGTCTCTAAATCCCCAGGAGTGCCTTTTGAACTTCACGGGTGTGTTTGAAGAAGAGTGAACAGTTGGTGGGGTAGAAAGCATTTATTCCCAACATATCATCCCCAGAAATCCCCTATGGTTGTTGTTTTTATTTCATAGGAGGAATGGGGTGCATTTGAAGGGTAATTTTTTAAAATATGTTTTCCCTAGTAACTATGGAACAGTAACCTACACATACATCATTAACATGGGGAAAATAACTAATCTTCACCTCTTTTATCATGCTAAAAGGATTACTAAGAAAAAATATGTATGCTTTACCAAGGATTGAACCTGTGGCCTTTTTTAATCTGTGGCCTTCCATACACAAAAAACACATCCTATGTCAATGAGGTGTGTCTTTTTTCACAAGGAATGCACAAACAATGATTGGGTTTTTAATACTATATAACTAGATGCTGAGCTGGGTTGCTGTGAGCTGTCCGGGCTATATGGCCATGTTTCAGAAGCATTCTCTGAAGTTTCGCCCACATTTATGGCAGGCATCCTCAGAGGTTATTTTTAAATGTTAATTTAAAAAATTAACACAGCTGGGAAAGAACCACACTGCTATAAATGAATCTTCATTATAACTAGAATCAATAACATTGCAACAAACTGGGGGGAGGGGTGGATCTGGAGATATAAAAACCCTTAAGATCAATTTCTAAAAATCTAGACAGATGGACTGAGGCTCCTTAGCTATCAAATTTTCCAGACCAAGAGGACATGGAAGAATAAACATCTTCAGAAGCAGAGGGCCCAAGCAAACCTGGGAAATTTTACAACAGAGACTGCACAATAACAACTTGCATTATGACTACAAAATACAAATCTTGAAATGCCTTCGCTATATTCTGGAATATAAAAATAACAGTTTGTGGAACAGACTAAGCAACTATGAAAACAGCAGTAGAACCCTAAGTTGTTATATTACTTTATAGCTTATTATGTAAACACAAATGTTGACTTAAGCTGAGCAGCAGTCTGCTTCTCAATTGCTTTTCTGAAGCCAGCTGATGGGAATCCTTCACAGTAACATTTCAGTTTGAAATTGTAAACCACCCACTTAAATAAAACTACATTTTCTTACTTAGTATGGCCATCAAACTGTCTTAGTGCTGCTCTGCCACTGATATCAAAGAGTCGAACGATACCCTCTTCGCTGCCAGCAGCCAGCAACTTCCCGTCATCTCGGTATGTAGCACAATAGGCTACATCTTTGAAGCGAGAAAATGTTTTGATTGGCTCTTGAGAATATCGACCATAAATATGAATCTGGAACAAAACACATTATGTCACTGTTGTAAACTATTTGAAAAAAACAAAAGCAAATGGAAAAGCAAGAGGCCTCTAAAGTCCTCAACCAGAAACACATACTGTTTCAAGAAGGTAAAACAAAGATTTGGGTATTGGGGGCAGGAGTTTTAGAAGAAGCTGAATCAAAATTTGTTAGTATGTACATAGAGACATGGTGGCCCTTTCTGGAATCCCCTCTCAATGAAACTGGAGCAACACAACAGGCAGTTCCAAAGTTACAGACAACCAACTTACAAACAAATCACAATTAAGAACAGGGTGAGACAACAGGAAGTAAGAGAAATTTACCCCTTGGAAGGGAATTCACTCCTGAAAGAGTTATCATGGGGAAAAGGTGTCTCCACTTAAGCTTTCTCACCAATTCTTGTTTTCACAACAAACCATTTTTTTTTCAAAATCCAATCATCACAGTGGTGAAATCTTCTGAACAGTGGTACACACAGCAAAACACAGGGATGTTAACCCTTCCCTATGCTATTCAAAACACACACGCATATATGGTTGGAGTTACTTTCAAAATTTACCTGTTCTGACCTACATACAAATTCATCTTAAGAACAAACCTACAGAACCTATCTTATCCACAACCTGGATACTGTCTGCATTTAGAAAGTAAAGATAAGGAAGTCTCCTCCATCATGAGGACACTTCTGAAGGCATCACCCCCACCAGGTTAAATGACAGTCATTTAATTACATGGAAGAAAGTATGCACATGTAATGTTATGAGATTACCCAAAGAACTAAAACAAGCCCATTAAAAAAGCAAAAGATAAAATCCACAGAACAGGACACTACTAAAAGTCTTTGCAGCGAGTTCTCAAAAGTATGTTGGAACAGAAGAGCTTTCACCTGCTAACAAAAGAATGGCAAGAAGGGAGCTCTCCTGACTTCCTTAAGGAAGGAATATCTAGGACAGGAGTGGCCACCAAGGAGAACCTCTCCTGTTATCCTGCCACATATAACTGTGAAAGTGGTGGAATTGAGAGAAGGGACTGCTCTAAAAATATCAATCTCATATAAGAAGATGATCCTCTAGATAAGCAACAGTTCATTTCACAAACTGTAGCACAGTCATTTGTTCTGTCAGGTCAGGCAAATTCAGTACAGCCTCAAGATGACAGAATTTTGCAAAAGTGGCCAAATTCTCAGAGACTAGGTGTCATTCCTCTATCCTTGGAACAATCCAGGCACCAGGCATGTGGCCGGGGGGGGGGGGGGCTTGAGGGGCTTCAGCCCCCCCCCCGCCCGAAATTCTCATGGTGGTTCGCGAAAAGGCCTTACTGGTGCATTATTTAAACTGTTATGTTTATTCATATCATGATCTGATCACCATACTCAATATATCCCATATGCATGGGGGTATTGGGGTAACGATACAAAAGGTTTGCTAGGGTAGACCCTCTTTCACTCAGACTCAGCCCCCCCCGAAACCCCCCCTGAAAAAATCTCACCCCCCCCCCCCCCCACCTCCCCGGGAATCAAAATCCTGGCTACGGGCCTGCCAGGCACCCCTCCACACAAGGCATAAGTAAGCTTTAATTTACTTCCAGTTTCAAAATACCATTTCCAGATTTGGAAAAGCAAATACCAGTACATGGATTTTGTACCAAAAGCAGAGAAATGTTTTCTTTAGGAGATGATTGCTCTCCCTGGAAATTAATCCTCTCGCTTATAGAAAGCATCTAAGTATGCGTAATATATCCCATCTCTTAGTTCTGGGAGTTCAGGGGTCTAAAAATCCACCTCAGAGTATGGAAATGGGTGAAAATACTATAGGATTGTTAAGAAAACCAAAACTTTATGTCAAATCTTACCCTTGATGAAGCTGTGACAGCATAGTTATAGGGAGGAATTGGAGAAAAGTCTACTTTATTCACTGCACCAAATTCCTTTATTTGAATGGGAGCCTTTAAGAAAAGGTACAATTTAAACATTCAATTCAATACATTTCTTTACAAAAGACAAAACAAGTCAATACAAAAACACAGACATCATTAAAAATAATTTTAACAAATATTTAGTGTTATCAAATAGCAGTAGCATTGCTGCACAAGTATATCTGAGGATAAATCTCAAATGTCATATATTACTGAAATTATAGGAAAACTTTCCAGTAAAATAAGTGCAAGGAAACACATGCACTTTTTTCAGCTATTGATTGTATCAAAGGTCTACTACAAAGTAAACATGCACCTTTTGTAATGTTTAAGTCATATAAGATACTGAAGATTTAGATGTATCAGTCTTAATTCCAGTAATTATGTATCATTACCTTATAATGCTTCCAGTACAATGTATCCTTGGTTATTTTCTCACCAAGTTTTGGAAAAGATGGGACTACAACAGGTTTGTAGCTAGCCATTATTTTTTAAATACAACTTCTTCAAGTAATGAAGTTTATCTTCCAGCCTACCTCTTAAAGGAAAAGTAAATAATATTTCTGAAATAGGAAAAAGATGATACAGTTCAGAAGTCCACATTAAAAACACACAGACTCGAAAAGCACCTATTTGTGTCTTATGTTTTGAAGCAATTGACCTAACATTTGCTTCTAACCTAAAATATCTTTTCTCTGGTGTATCTTTGCAGTAATCTACCTCTAAAAACCCCTCTAAAACCCCCGGTGGCGCAGTGGGTTAAAGCACTGAGCTGCTGAACTTGTTGATCGAAAGGTCGCAGGTTCGATTCCGGGGAGCGGTATGAGCTTCCGCTGTCAGCCCTAGCTTCTGCCAACCTAGCAGTTCGAAAACATGCAAATGTGAGTAGATCAATAGGTACCGCTCCGGCGGGAAGGTAACGACGCTCCATGCAGTCATGCCGGCCACATGACCTTGGAAGTGTCTACGGACAACGCCGGCTCTTCGGCTTCGAAATGGAGATGAGCACCACACCCCAGAGTCAGACATGACTGGACTTAATGTCAGGGGACAACCTTTACCTTTACCTCTAAAAAGTTCTACATGATTCCATTACAATAATTTCATCTCCAATATTTAACATTCTATTTTAAATTAGAATGAAGGGCTTAGTTACTTCTAAAGTAACTCAAATTGACACTTCACCTAAAAATCTAAAGCTATGTTTTCCGACCATGCACATAAAAATACAACAAGTATTTTCATCAAGGGAAGTCATAGTCCTACTTTATTCTGCCTTGGTCTGACCTCACCAGCACAATTCAAGAGGGATATTGACAAGCTGGAAGAGGTCCAGAGATGGGAAACCAAAATAATCAAAGGTTTGAAAGCCAAGCTTTGTGAGGAATGGTTGAGGGAGCTGGGTCTGTTTAGCTTGGAGAAGAGCACGCTGAGAGGGGATATGACATCCAGGTTTAAATATTTGAAAGCATGCCACATTGAGGAGGGACCAAGTGTGTTTTCTGCTCTGGAGACTGAGGCTCCTTCCACACAACTGAATAAAATCCCACTTTTTTTTTTTTGCTTTGAACTGAAATATATGGCAGTGTGGACTCAAATAATCCAGTTCAAAGCAGCTATTGTGGGATTTTCTGCCTTAATAGTCTGGGTTCTATGGCTGTGTGGAAGGAAGGGCACTGTGGGCCTTCCAGACAGGCCCTATATCCCAGGATCTGATCCTATGTTTTTTGCTTTAAAATGGATTATATGAATCTACACTGCCAGATATATATTTTTTTTGGTCGTGTCAGGAGCAACTTGAGAAACTGCAAGTTGCTTCTGGTGTTAGAGAATTGGCCATCTGCAAGGACATTGCCCAGGGGACGCCTGGATGATTTGATGTTTTTATCATCCTTGTGGGAGGCTTCTCTCATGTCCCCGCATGAGGAGCTGGAGCTGATAGAGGGAGCTCATCCGCCTCTCCCCGGATTCGAACCTGCGACCTGTCAGCCTTCAGTCCTGCCGGTACAGGGGTTTAACCCACTGTGCCACCGGGGACGCAGATAATCTGGGATAAACAGAACACCCGTGATAAGATCCTGGGATATAGTGCCTGTCTGGAAGGGCCCTAAGGCATCTTCCACATAGCTGAATAAAACCCCACATTATCTGCTTTGAATATGTGACAGTGTGGACTCAGATAACTTAGTTCAAAGCAGATATTGTGGGATTTTCTGCCTTGATATTCTGGGTTATATGGCTGTGTGGAAGGGCCCTAGGACACAATGGAACAACTGATTCAAATGGCAGGAAAAAATATTAAATCTAAACATTAGGCCGCCCTGAGTCCCCTTGTGGGGAGAAGGGCGGGATAGAAATGTAATAAATAAATAAATAAATAAAGATGAATTTCCTGATAGTAAGACCTGTTCGGGGGAGTGGTGGTGTCTCCTCGGGAGGTTTTCAAGCAGAGCCTGGGTGGCCATCTGTCGGGAGTGCTTTGATTGTGTGTTCTTGAATGGAAGGTTAGGGTTGGGCTGGATGGACCTTGTGGCCTCTTCTAATTATATGACTCCATGATTCTAAATCCAATTAACAGAATCCCCCACACAGTATGCTGTAAGGCTTTCATTATATTCCCCTCCACCCAAAAAAGAGAGTTATACTTTTCCTAACTCTGGTCAAATAAAAGCACCAGGCCCTTTTGTACTAAGAGAGAGGATTTGTTTCAATTTCCACTGGAGAAAATGGACGTTATCTTTCCTCCCTCTTTTCCAAGCGGTTCCTCACCTCTTCCTCTCAACTGGACGGTTTCCGCCTCACCGCTTTACAGTCACGTTGCCTCCCAAGGAAGCCGCCATCACAGCGCTGAGGATTCAGAAGCGCGGAGTTACGTCATCAGGAAGCGACCGACAAGGCATTCTCTCATCGGGATCCCTTTCCCAATAGAGATAGGAAAATAAAGACTCATGCATCTCTACCTTTGCTCCTCCAGAGCAGGCATGGGCAAACTTGAGCCCCTTCTTTTCCCCCTAAGTTTGCCCAAAGGAAAGGGCCTGAGGCTGTTAGGAATTGTCGGACTTGAAGTCCAAAATACTTGGAGGGCCCAAGTTTGCCCATGCCTGCTCCAGAGTATAGACTTTAATTCTCAGCAACCCCTCTATGGCTTTATTATCATCATCATCATTCATTATATTGCCTATTACTATCCTTTACCATCATCCTATTAATACTATTATTAATTATTATTATTTTTATATTTTGCTAGACTTGATCATTACTCTATTGTTACTATTTGTTTAATTTAATTTAATATCCCACTTTCCCCCCAAAATTGGGACTGAAAGGAGGTCACATGACCGGAATCTGGGTTGTTGTGTGTTTTTGTTGTGTCAGAGGAGGGCGACTAAAATGATCAAGGGTCTGGAGAACAAGCCCTATGAGGAGCGGCTTAGGGAACTGGGCATGTTTAGCCTGAAGAAGAGAAGGCTGAGAGGAGATATGATAGCCATGTATAAATATGTGAGAGGAAGTCACAGGGAGGAGGGAGCAAGCTTGTTTTCTGCTGCCCTGGAGACTAGGACGCAATGGAACAATGGCTTCAAACTACAAGAAAGGAGATTCCATCTGAACATGAGGAAGAACTTCCTGACTGTGAGAGCCGTTCAGCAGTGGAACTCTCTGCCCCGGAGTGTGGTGGAGGCTCCTTCTTTGGAAGCTTTTAAACAGAGGCTGGATGGCCATCTGTCAGGGGTGATTTGAATGCAGTATTCCTGCTTCTTGCAGGGGGTTGGACTGGATGGCCCATGAGGTCTCTTCCAACTCTTTGATTCTATGATTCTTATGCTGGACATCGCTGGGTTCATTAGTTATCTTCCAACTCTATGATTCTATGATTCCGGGCTGTATTGCCATGTTCCAGAAGCATTCTCTCCTGACATTTTGCCTGCATCTATAGCAGGCATCCTCAGAGGTTGAGGGTCTGTTGGAAACTAAACAAGTGGGGTTTATGTTTCTGTGGAATGTCCAGGGTGAGAGGAAGAATTTTTGTCTGTTCGAGGCAGGTGTGAATGTTGCAACTGGCCACCTTGATTAGCATTGAATAGCCTTGCAGTTTCAAGGTCTGGCTGCTTCCTGACAAGGAGAATCCTTTGTTGGGAGGTGATTGTCTAAACCCCACTTTCCAACAGACCTCACAAACCTGAGGATGCCTGCCATAGATGCAGGTGAAATATCAGGCGATAATGCTTCTGAAACATGGCCATACAGCCCGGAAAACTCACATCAACCCAATATAAACACAAATAAACAAAATATAAGAACAATATGTAAATAAATGTCTGGTTGAGGCAGGTATGAATTTTGCAATTGGCCACATTGATTGACATTTCATGTAGCTTCAAAGCCTGACTGATTGCTGCCAGGGGGATCCTTTGCCTGCCATAGATGCAGGTGGAATGTCAGGAGAGAATGATTTAGACGAGCATGTCCATATCTCTATGTTGCTCGTGGCCTCCTGCTCCTTCCCCTCCTCTGCAGGAGGAGAGTGACATGCGGACCAGTTCCGGGTCTCCCTCGTGGAGCAGCCGGAAGTGATGTCAAGTCATGCCATAACAACAACAGCCGCGCGGTCTTTGACAATGTCAGTGAGGAGGGACTCGAAGCTGCTGGCCTAAACAGGTAAGGAGGAGGCGGAGGCCTGGGTCAGGGCTGGAAAGGAAAGGAGATCACAATCCTTCCTAACATTACAGGCCCTTAAAATCACAAACTGAGCATTTTGGAAAGTTTGGGTGCATCTATACTTAGAACTATTTTAGCTTGACAGCAGTCTTCTACTCTGACCATTTAATGCAGTCATGGGCAAACTTGGGCCCTCCAGGTGTCTTGGACTTCAACTCCCACACTTCCTAACAGTCTCAGGCCCCTTCCTTTTCGCCCTCAGCTGCTTGACGTGCCTTCATCTTGACGCACTTCACCCTTTCATCTTACATCCGTGTCTCTTCAAATTCCACAGCACTGTTGGTCACAGCTGACCTCCAGTCAGAGTGCTCAAGGGCCAGGGCTTCCCAGATCTTGGTGTCAATGCCACAGTTTTTAAGCTTAGCTTTAAGGGTGATAGTATGATAGCTGGGTCCGGAAGCTCCGAGCGTTACGCACATTCTACAACGGCATTTGTGAATAAGGGAAGAGGAGAGCAGCACACTGAGGGCGGGAATATAGAGTTGCATTTGGTAGAAGTATAGAGAGGAGGGGAGGGTTAGGATAAGCTTTAGGGTAAGAGTTAGAGGTTATGTTTAGGGTCAGGTTTAGGGTTTCGGGATGGAGCCCCCAGTGGCACAGTGAGTTAAACTGCTGAGCTGCTAAACCTGTTGACTGAAAGGTTGCAGGTTCGAATCCAGGGAGCGGCATGAGCTTCTGCTGTTAGCCCCAGCTTCTACCAACCTAGCAGTTCGAAAACATGTAAATGTGAGTAGATCAATATTCACAATACTCCGGCGAAAAGGTAATGGTGCTCCATGCAGTCATGCTGGCCACATGACCTTGGAGGTGTTTACAGACAACACCGGCTCTTCGACTTAAAAATTGAGATGAGCACCACACCCCAGAGTCTGACACCACTGGCTTTAATGGCAGGGGAAAACCCTTACGGTTTGGGTTAGGATTAGGGTTAAGGGTTGGGGTTAGGGTAAGGTTTAAGGTAAGTATTCAGGTAAGGGTTAGGGTTTTAGCATTGAAGAACTCTTACATTCCTTCTATAATATCTGTGTTCCGTTCTGTGTTGCACAAACAGCGCTCCTGAGGGAGTGAACAGCGCAATGCTCAGAGCTTCCAGACCCAGCTTTCATACTATTACCACTTTAAGCCCATCTTTAAGTCTTTTTTTCCTGTCCACCAACCTTCCGTTTTCCATTCTTCAGTTGGGAGTAGAGTAACTGCTTTGGAAGATGGTGGTCCGGCATTTGGACAACATGGCTAGCCCAGCGGAGTTGATGGCGCAGGAGCATCACTTCAATGCTGGTGGTCTTTGCTTCTTTCAGCACGCTGATATTTGTCCGCCTGTCTTCCCAAGAGATTTACAGGATTTTTTGGAGGCAACACTGATGGAATCGTTCCAGGAGTTGAGTGAGATGTCTGTAGACAGTCCATGTTTCGCAGGCGTATGACAGGGTTGGGAGGACAATGGCTTTATAAACAGTATTTTGATCTCCCTATGAATGTCTCGATCCTCAAACACTCTCTGCTTCATTAGGAAGACTGCTGCACTCGCAGAACTCAGACGGTGTTGTATTTCAGTGTCAATGTTTATTTTTGTGAAGAGGTTGCTGCAAGATTGGCAGAAATGGTCTTCATTTTCTAACGTTACACCATTAAGCTGTATTTCTGGCTACAATAATATGGCTGTTGTCGTTTTATAAGATCCTTAGCCTTCTCTGCCAAAAAGAGCTGTGCACCACTAAACTACAACTCTCTCAGGATGCCATACCATTGAGCTACAGTAGTTAAAGTTGTCTCAGACTGCATTGATTCAGTGACAATTCACTCAGAGTGGCATCACTAGGGTTTGCATTAGTGCTTTATAATTTTTTAAATTATAAATTTTCTTTTACACTGATTTATATGTTAAATATGTTAAATATTTTTAACCAATAGTTCATTGTATATTTTAATATATTGCTCTTCCTTACAAAGGAGCTATACTATACAGTAGGCCCTGACTATTTGCGGATTTTACTTCTATGGTTTTGATTATTCGCTGATTCAGTTCATATGTTCTCTGTAGGAATCTCTAGGTCCTCCAGCACAACTATATGGCCAATTTCTGGTGGAAGTTAAGTATAGAGTTGTGCTGCAGGACTTTGAGATTCCTAGAGAGCAAGTTTTTCTAGGCATTTATAGATCCTCCAGAATTATCCAATTGAAAATGGACCATACAGTCATGCTGGAGAACCTAGAGATTCCAAGAGAGGTTTTCTCTCAGTTAAAACTGGGTTTTTATTCCTGTTTTTTTCACTTTGTGAGAGGTTTTGCACTCTTAATCCAGTGAATGTGTTACTCAAATGACCTTGCTTGTTCAGGGAACCGTTCTTCTTTTATGTCATAAAGAGTGTTTAGCATGATGTTATAACCTACTAATGTGTTGTTGCATTTGTTTGCAGATTGTTGTAAAACTTGGCCATTCAAGATTTTAAAAAGAATCCATCTGGCTGGAAGACAAAATTATAAGAAAACTATTTAAATAACTTCAGACTGACAAAATGGAATCGTCAACAAATCTAGATGTTGACACCCAGTTGCTTGTGGAGGACTGTGCTGGCAACTATAGCTTGTCTCATATGCCAGACATCAAAGTGGAGCATCAGCTTGATTCTGGCGTTGAGGAAGGACCAGCTCAGAGTGTTGCCATGGGAATGAAGTTCATTTTGCCCAACAGGTTTGATATGAATGTGTGTTCTCGGTTTGTCAAGTCCTTGAATGAAGAAGACAGCAAAAATATTCAGGATCAAGTGAACTCTGACCTTGAGGTGGCATCTGTATTATTTAAAGGTCAGAATTTAAAAGTGGTATTTTCTAGGTTTCTGGTTGTCATTGCAAATGAATGCATAGAATTCCATTAAATGCTAGTATGACCATATATTGGTTCTTTCTTTATCTTGGCAGAGCCAATGTCTTTTAGCTGTCTTGTTTACTGAGAAAAATAAGGTCTTTCATTGCACTGGACTTTCTGGTGTTTTTGTATGTAAAGTGGCAAGGAGATATTTTTGCATATGGAAGTACTATGTCTACAGCCAATTTACTGTTGTCCAACGTAATCAGAGTAAAAGACTGTACTAAATGTTTGCACCGAAATAGCTGGCATAATTATTTAATGAGCCAGCTAGAAGGAACCTAGTAGATCCTGCATCATGTTTATTGTAACTTGGGTCAGTCAGTCAAACACAATAAGGAAAGCAGGCAAAATTTGCACCCTCGGTTCATATTTTCTTATACAGGCAGTCCCCAAGTTATAAACTATAGATTTCTGTAATTTGTTCTTAAGTTTAATTTGTATGTAAGCCAGAACAGGTACATTTTTAAGTGTAACTCCAGCCAATATTAGCTTTGGATAGCATAGGAAAGGGTTAATACCCCTGTGGAGTTTATTTTGCTGTGTCCCCCACCCCCCACCTCAAAAAGTTTTACCTCACTTTCTACTCCTGTGATAACTGGATTTTGAAAATCTTGGGTTGTTGTGGAAACAAGAATTGGTGATAAAGCTTCAGTGGAGACACATTTTCCACATCACAACTCTTAGGCCACTTCCACACCGCTGAATTCAATCCCACATTTTCTGCTTTGAAATAGAATATATGGCAGCATGGATTTAGATAACCCAGTTCAAAGCAGATATTATAAGATTTTCTGCCTTGATATTCTGGGTTAAATGGCTATGTGGAAGGGCCCTTGCAGGAGTGAATTTCCCTTCCTAGGGGTAGATGTCTCTCCCTGTTGGTTTCACCTCCGTTCTATGTGTCATATGCAAGTTGGATGTTTGTAACTCGGAGACTGCCTGTAGTTGTAGTAATTATTTGGAAGTAATTCCTCATGCAACAAACAAATCTACTTAAAATCTATTTAGAATCAGACTCAAGAGGTAGAGACAGCAAAGACATTCCACTGGTATTCTGGCTGTACAGGGATTTTAGGGCCTGGAACTATATGCAAGTGAAAACCACTTGTCTATTAGGCTCATCTACACCACCATATAATGCAAGTCCAAACTGTATTATATGGCAGTGTAGATGGGGCATTGGATATCTCACAACAATAAAATTTTAAGAATATGACTACCAATGTCTCCATGAATTACAACGGCATCAGGTTCAGACAGGATTCTAACTATTATATGATTTAAATCTTAATTATTTCCCAAGGTCATTATAAATAACGAGGTATACTTTCATGCTCATCCTAACTATATCTTGAGTCTGTGGTTCTTGATATACAGAGAAGCTCTAGGATATGCCCAAATTTGATTCCGATGATTATATTTGTTGAAAATCATAACTGCTTATTACAGAACATGGGAAACTGTGGCTCTCCTAAACAGCCTGATCATTGCTGGGATATGGCAGTCGTTTTGCAATATCTAAAGAGCCAAAATGGTTTAATGGAATTTATGTATAGCTCTGAATAAAGCCTGGGGAAGCTGCTCTTTGGATTACAACTCCTAGAATCCCTGTGCAAATACAGGCTGTAGAGAAAAAATGAATTCCCCCAAGGTTGGCTGTGACTCATGTTGTCAATTGTTCAACTGTTTCTTGAAAGGAGTTTCAAGTCACATCCTAGAAGCGTAGTTTCCTCCAAGAATCCAAATGAGGCAGGTGCCTCTCTGTTTGTTTTGTGCTTATCTGGATTTCATTAGTTTTGTCTGATTTTTAGCCACATCCAGTTTCACTATCAAATATGCTCCCCAAAACGATGTTAAGCAGCACTATTCCTTAAAACAGAATTTGAAATGTTATCCTTAAAATGTGAATTTTTACCTGTCCTTATTCAGGGACTTTTTGATTTTATTTTTCTGTTAGCTGAGTGCAATATCCATACTTCACCTTCTCCTGGGATTCAAGTAAGACATGTCTATACCCCATCAACAACTAAGCATTTTTCACCAATAAAACAGTCAACCACTTTAACTAACAAGCACAGAGGAAATGAAGTTTCTACAACACCTTTACTTGTCAACTGTGAGTATTAGTAGAATTGTGCATTTAAGTTTTTGTTTTGAAAACATTGGGATATTACAAGAGACTCATTTTTGTGTTTCCTTTAAACAAGTTTATCAGTCAATATTTCATAGAATCATAGAGTTGGAAGAGACCTCATGGGCCGTCCAGTCCAACCCCCTGCTAAGAAGCAAGAAAATTGCATTCAAAGCATCCCCGACAGATGGCCATCCAGCCTCTGTTTAAAAGCTTCCAAAGAAGGAGCCTCCATCCCATTCTGGGGCAGAGAGTTCCACTGCTGAACAGCTTTCACAGTCAGGAAGTTCTTCCTAACTTCCTAATATTTCTGCTATTTATTAATTTAAGTCAAAATAGTTACCTTAAAATGAAGTTATTTAGCTTTTAATAGTTGAGAAACAAAGCTTATTAAAATTGTATATAAGCTAGGTATATTAGTTTGCAGTCAGTCTTCAGTTTATGGCTAGATTGCATCATAGGAAATGATACAATATTCTGTTGTTGTCTCTGCAGCTCTATCTGTTCATCAGCTGGCAGCTCAGGGAGAAATGCTATATCTTGCCACACGCATAGAGCAAGGTGAGAATTTATTCTGGTAGTTTTTGGCAGCAATGATAATCTGTAAGGTTACAGTCCCTTTTACATAGATAATTTAATAGATCCCTTTTCTCTTTTACTCATGAAAATGCCTCCCAGAGGATTTGGCTTAGCAGATCATAATGTCAACAAGCTTTATGGGCTACTGAGTCTCAATACAACAGAAGCAAAAATGTAAACCTAGCAGATGCTTAATATACTTTGGGTTTTTTGTGTATCTGTTTGTTTTCTTAAATAGAAAGTGTCATCAATCATACTGATGAAGAAGGTTTTACTCCTTTGATGTGGGCAGCAGCTCATGGACAGATAGCAGTGGTAGAATTTTTACTGCAAAATGTAAGTGGAAACCTGGTTCACTTCATACATTTCTGGTAGTACAGTATACAAATGCAGTGCTCATAATCCAGAACAATTACAGAATATGTGTATTAGTCTTTGAAATATTGAAGCTTATATAAAACAAGAGACAAAATAAGTGGGGCTTCCATGGCTTGGGACCATATTATGTGAAGGACCTCTTTCTATGGGTTCCTGCCCAGGGTCTGGGATCATCATCTGAGGCAAGCTTGACCCCTGAACCAATGGATTCAATTTATAGGAAAGGAGATTCTGGCAAAACCTTATGAGGAACATCTTGATAGTAGGAACTGTTGGCCAATGGAAGAGACTGCCTCAGAAGGTACTGGAGTCTCCTTTATAAAAAAATTTAAATTGAGGTTGAATGACATCTCTCAATGATACTTTAGCTATGGTTTTCTGCATTGACAGGGAGTCGGATCAAGTGATCCTTGGGATCTGTGTGATTTTAATGTTTATATTGATATGTTTTAATTCCATGTTTTAATGTTAAATTATGTCATGTTTAATTATTTAATTGACAATTGTATGTTGTTATCATTATGTTAGATTTCTGTATGTGAGGCATTAACTTTGCATAATTATGTTGAAAACTGCTGAGTCCCCTGCTGCAGGGAGAAAAACAGTATGCAATAAATAAATAATCTCTTTGAATTTTGTAAACTGGTAGTTCTGTTGTCTGAGGTGGTTTATATCTCTAAACCATTGACAGTGTATCACCACTTTTTTCAACTAGGGTGCAGATCCACAGATTCTGGGAAAAGGGCGGGAGAGCGCATTATCATTGGCTTGTAGTAAAGGATACACAGATATTGTCAAGATGCTGCTCGACTGTGGAGTTGATGTAAATGAATATGATTGGGTAAGTCTATTGCTGAGATAGCTTCCGTCTTGGGTTCATCCACTCATTACTGCCAGCTACACTAAATGAACTGTAAAAAAGGAAGTTAATGAGGCAAGCAAGAATGAAAATGCTACAAAAATGGTACAGGACTCCTGCACAACTTTCACGTTTTGTACCAGGGGTAAAGGACAGGTATTGGCATGATTGTAAACAAATAAGTGTGTTTAATCATACAATATGGGAATGTGACAGAGTACAGGCGTCCCGGAAAACGACTGAAGGAGAAATTAATAGAATGTTAAATTGTCAAATATTAATAGCCAATAGAAATGTAATAAATTACATGCAAGGATACCAGGAGTGTACAATGTGCAAAAGGAAAACGTGGTTGACCAATTAATAGTGTGTGCGCAAATTATTTTAGTGAGGGGTTGGAAAAATAAAACAAAGTGGACTGACAAATTGGTATAGTTATATAGCAAATATGTTAAATGTGAAAATAACAAATTGTAAATTGAACAATATAGACAAAATAGAAAATGTTATAATAATTATGAGCATGTTGGACCAATTAGGAATTATTTACAGAAGGTATTAAGACGTGGAGAGGAAACATTGAGATTAAGACTGATATTTCAAATGTAATTTCTGTAGTTTATTGTATAAATTGTATGTCCAGGGGGGAGGGTGGTAAAAAAATAAAATATATTTAAAAGAAATGAAAAGGAAGTTAATACCTGTGTACATGCTATAGATTCAATTGCTCTATTCTCTCCCTAGACATAAATATCAAATTACAGAAGATACAGTAACACTGTAATAACAGTTTGTGCATTGGACAACAAATCTAGAGACCAGGGTTTGAATTCCCACTTGGTCATGGAAATCCACTGAGTAACAATGGGCAAGCCACTCTCTTGTATTTGAAGGAAGGCAAAGGGCAACCCTCCCCCCCTTTTGAACAAATCTTGTCAAGAAAATCCTGTGATAGATTCACTTTAGGGTTGCCATAACACAGAAGCAACTTGAAAATCACAGCAACAGTGAACAGATACCTATTTGGTTATTTTTGCGTTTCTGAAGTAGAGGTGAACATGACGTTGCAACCAGACTGGAAAAGAAAGTTTAAGAAATATCTGACTTGGTAAAAGTCTTCATTCTAATGTAAAGAATTGGTGATTTAGTCAGCACCAGATTCTGCCAATAAGCCCCATTCATATTCAGAGGTGATGTTAGAAAGGAGAAAAGAATCTAGACATATAAGGCCATTTAAACCATTCTGTCACATTCACATGTGACCAGAAATCAGAATGGAACTGTGTGAGGTAGATGTCATCCATGCTGTATGTTGATGGTATGTGCATTGAAAGCTAATAGTGTGCATGGGGATCCCAGCATATTTTTGCTGTGCTAGCACATTTTACTGATTCCCACTAAGCAAATATTCCATGCTTTTATCAAGTTTCATACCAGAGAACCTACCTCTTGCATCTTTTAATCTTTTCTCCATTTTTTGTTGTCTTGTGCAAGATGAAACAGGAAGGAAGCCACTACAGCTTTCATGTTTCCCTAGCAAACAAGTTTTTTTGCTTTTTTTGGTTTGGAGGGGAAGGCAGCGGTGGTTGGAAAAAAAACACCTGCTTTTGCAAGAGAATATTGTTTCCTCTGAAAGCTGAAACCACCGAAAAAAACAACTCTTTCATTTTCCTCCTCCATAACTCTCCTTAGAAGAAAAGAGGGATAGTTTCTTCCCTTATTGGACTTTGGCAGACAAGAATACAGTATAGGTTTGCACTCTGTTCTGTAAACATTCCACTAGACTGATAGGATTAGTTATGACCACATACATGTTTTTGGTTGATAAACCAAGGTAAAACTTGACCACTCACCCACTCCAGTGTGTATACAGTATATCTAATAAACACTACAAATTAATTCTGAGATTTTAAATTTTCTTGATTTTTTTTTTTTTACAGAATGGTGGCACACCTTTGCTTTATGCAGTACATGGAAACCATGTGAAGTGTGTCAAAATACTTTTAGGTGAGTAGGTAATAGTAGTAATAACTAAGAAATTGAGAAACTAAGAAATTGAGAATCTTAATAAATCAATGTTTAAAATTCTGTATTATTTTAACTAGAACATGGTGCTGATCCAACCATAGAGACAGATTCTGGATATAATTCTATGGATCTGGCCGTAGCCCTTGGACATCGTAGTGGTGAGTATTTGGACACTTTAGAAGTTTTCAATTAATATATCTGTATGTCTGAAAGTCAGCATGGTGTAGTGGTTTAAGCATTTGACTAAGATGCCAAAGAAGGGTTTCATTCTCTACTCAGCCATAGAAATCTATTGAATGACCTCAGACAAATGGTATTTTCTTAAGACAAATGCCCTTTGAGCAAATCTTGCAAGGAAAACACCATGATACTCCAAGTTGAAAATGAATGAAGCAACACAAACAAATCAATAGTTGCTGTCTAATTTTTGTTCAGAATATGTATGAGTATGCCATAGGTTTTGACTGATCAGAAATACATCTGTTTAGATGCAAGTTGTGCTGAAACTGGTATGAGTCAACAAGCTTTACTGTTGCTTTTAGACAGGCTTTCTTTGCCACCATTTACAGTAGTGAACTTAGAAAAGTGGTATGAATTGTTCCCTTAAAGGTTGTGGGAGGTACTCGATGTTTGGGTACCAAAAAATTCTAGATCTTCACCTTTATATTTTACCGAGCTCTGCTATAATCTAAAGATAGCCTCCATTTTGGTTGTTCCTATATAGCCTTCAACAATACATTGTTCCTATATACATTACTAAAGCAAACTCACCATTTAAGAGCATGGAATAACCAGCCATTTGAACACTAATTGTGTTTTTTCCCCCTTCATTTCAGTTCAACAGGTTATTGAATCACATTTATTAACACTACTTCAAAACATCAAAGAATAATGTCATACCTATGGGTTAAGGCTACATATATGAAGACCCGGAGATTTTGTTTTAGCACTTGTCAACATCATAAAGACTTTATTTTTCAATTTGTCCTTTAGTCATTGATGGATAGATTCTTACCGAAAGACTGCATACCATATTTATGAGTAATGTTGCAATTGAAGAAAATGCTGCCTTGAAGTGTGGTGGTTTCTTCATCTGCCATGATTCCTTAGGTTGGATGTCCTTGCATGGCAGGGGGTCGGAGTGGAAGGGCCTTGTGGTCTCGCCCAATGTTCTGATTCAAAGTTGGCAACTTAAACTTGACATTTTTGCACTTTCTTATTGCACTCATAAGAGCAGTTAACAGTGCTGAAGCTGTGCTGTAGACTGTGGTCCACTTGTGGCTCAATGGAAGCATTTCCTCGAGTTATCCAGCGTGACCAACTATCAAAAATGACTTGGTCAAGACTATTGAGTAAAAAACACCCACCTATTTGGCCAAGAAAAGTTTGAAATATTAAACACTTTACAGTCCATTAAGGTTGGATTTAATCTGCCATTCAAATCCAGGGAGAGAGCGGATGGGCTCCCTCTGTCAGCTCCAGCTCCCCATATGGAGACATGAGAGAAGCCTCCCACAAGGATGGTAAAACATCAAAACATCTGGGCATCCCCTGAGCAATGTTCTTGCAGACAACTAATTCTCTCACACCAGAAGCAACTTGCAGTTTCTCCAGTCTTTCCTGACACACAAAAAATCTGCCACCGTTATGTTGGTAATATTTTAAGAGTGTTCCATTTCAAACATTTGACTGACATTATTAGTCATCTGTAAAGCCAGATCAACACTACTTGTAAAAAATGTCATATTCTACATAATTGTTCAAAAAGGAATGATGGAAGACTTCAGTATACAGAATACCATACTTCACTCCAACTAATGCATTGTGTACTTTTCTACATTTTTCTAGTAGGCTGTAAGTTAACCTTAAGAATTAAAAGCATACAAGCCAATGCTTGGACTACTGTATTTATTGAAATATATTGGGCTGGTGAGAGAAGGCCTCGTCATCTTATTTGTGCTTTAATACAAAAAATGTGTGTAAGACTGAAATAGCCAACCAGTTCTTAAGTAAATCAATCAATCCACAAACATTACTGGAGGTTAGAAGAGGGGAGAGATTTCTGCCCATTTCTTAGCGGTCGACTGCATTTCTTCATTGCGTACAAATGGAACCAGCTGTACTCTGAGCTCCTGGTGCTGATGGATACTAGGAATTGGTAGTTTTAAAAAGATTCCAGTGTCTCATTCTGCATTGGAAGCATAGCCTTGAAGTTACCAGATACACAAAAATTGATTGCCCTAACATCTAGTTTATTTGGATCTAACAATCATTTTGTCATCGCCTTTCTTGTTTTCATTGTTTTTAATTTTTTCACGAGCATTTCTGGAAGTTTGAAATTCAAAGGCTTTGACAATATTAAGCAATATCTGCAGGGTCACAAGTTTCCCTGCCTTGGCTTCAATGAAATTAAGATATAAAGAATATACTTGAATAAGACAATTTGAATGCAGTGTGGTCAGAAGTTAAGGTCTAACATTCTAGCCGTGTTTACTTGGAAATAAAGTCATTTAAAACAAATACTGACTTTTGAGGACAACTATTCCTGAATCGTAAAACAGCAGTTTCTTGATTCTGAGATGGGAAGACTGATCTGCTTAATATTTATAACATTTAACGAATTACATAAAAATATTATTCAGTGAAAAGCAAACACCTAAGGGAAGAGGTAAGCATGTTTATTGCAGGTTTAGAAGCATCTTTCCAAAATGTATTGTTCTAGTCACTGAATGCTTTTCTCTATCCAGTTAACATGACCCATGGAAAAATGAATATGTGTACATGCGTTCTACAAACCTTACTTGCCCAAAATGATATTTAAGTTCTCCTTAGCTTTTAAAGGTGAACATTCAAGTGTACCTCTCAATGAATTACATATCAGATGTACTATACACTAGGATATCTGAAATACAACAGATTCCCCCAACATGAAACACTGTGCTTTGATTTGGTAAAACTGACAAATTGAATTTACATTTTTTTAAAAAAATGTGGAGATGTGATTTTCATATATAGTGCAAATACAATGTTCTAATCATCTGCCGTTTTCAAATTGGTTTCAATTTGAAGGGAATCCATTAGCAAGCACACACATTCGTGTTAATAACACATGTAATGTATGCTTGTAAATACTTTTTCTACTTTTACATTTGTAAACACTGGCAGACAAAATAGATTTATCAGACCTTGACCCCGTAGTTATACAGGCAGTCCCCAAGTTACAAACATCAAACTTACAAATGACTCATAGTTAAGAATGGGGGTGAGACAACAGGAAGTAAAATAAATCTACCTCTCAGAAGAGAAATTTACTCCTGAAAGAGTTACGAGGAAAATGTGTCTCCACTGAAGATTTATCACTAATCTTTGTTTCCAAAATAAGCCAATTTTTTTTCAAAATCCAGTTATCACAGGAACAGAAGGGAAGATGAAATTTTCTGAACAGGGGCACAGACAGCAAAACTAAAACCAGAAGGGTGTTAACTCTTCCCTAGGCAACCCAAAGCATGCATGTGTGTGTGTGTATTTGGAGGGAGTTACACATAAAAATGTATCTGTTCCGATTTACATACAAATTCAGCTTAAGAACAAACCTACAGAATCTATCTTGTTCATAACTTGGGGATGTCTGCATTTTAATTTTTCTTCTTAATGATTCTTTCCTGCTAAAGAAAGCTCCGTTGATGTCTTTCAACTGATGTTCTGTCTCAAGAGCAAATACAAAATTTAATCCAAAACAGATAGTTCATGTAATGGATTAGAACTTGAAAATGAATATTGGCATATACATACGGCATATTCATGCATAGATATTTTCTTGTGAATTTTGTTGGAGGCTCATGAATATGTTTATATAAGGTAACAGCTTGCACCTCTGCCATCTTCAATTAGTATTTTGTGACTGCTTTTGGTAAGGACAGATTACAGATGTTTAAAAGGGAACTCAAGGCTTCAAAACAGAATGATTATTCAGTAAGTGATTTTTCCACATATAAAATACTACTAGAATGTTTGCCTAAACATGTAGCCTTTATTAGCATTTTTGACTTAATACTTTTTCAATTTTGTGTTATTTCCAACCCAGCCGCAACTAAATGCTCCGTGCACTAGCAAGAAATGAGGAGAGCTGCAATTTTTAAGAGTTTCCAAATATTACAGATCTTTGATTTAAGATCAGTACAAAAATGTTACAAATAAAAGTTACAATATAAAATAGCAGCTCTATATAATTTTCAAGTTTAATTTAAAGTGGCAGTTCAGTTTGCTTCATTCTTTGAAGCTTCATCAAAATTTTCCACAAGATCTGAAAAAAAAAGTTGGCAAAAATCAGGCGTTTAGAATGCTAATATCACTGTTATTGTCATGATAAAGTCAACAAGATTGGAATGTAATAAAATTCATCGGAGGACATCAACTTCTAGCCAGTTCAACTATATAGATGTCTCCTTAAGTAACTTCATGAAATTCAGTAGATAGGTAAAATAACATCTTAAAATAACAAACTTTATGTTTAACCAAAACTTGTTCCACAGCCTGACAAACTAGTATCAAGTCACATACTCTCAGCTTTAGAAGAAAGCAAAAGCAACCTCCCTCTGAACAACCCTTTTCAAGAAAACCCCGTGACAGGGTTACCTTGGGGTCATGATAAACTCAAAAAGCAAATCCATCCGCATATGGTTATGCACTGATTCTTTTGTCCACCAATCTGATTCTGAGGCAGCTCTGCATGCAGAGGCTCTGGTGAATCTCACAATCTTTCACTGGGAAGATAATCCTTAAAATAATCTGGTTCAAAACCATTTTCAAAATCAAGGCCAGAACTTTAAATTGAGATCTGAAGACAGCAGGCCACTAATGCAATGTTACCATAAATGGTTAAAGAACTATTAGAATATTTGGAAACTGTGTTCTGCATTAGCTAAACTTCCAAAATGTCTTTCAGGAAGGCTGAACACTGTAGCAACCTCATCTGGAGGTAACTAAGAGTAATAAAAGAAACAACATTATATCTCTAAAAGGTTGCAATTCCTATATCAACCTAAGCAGCCACAATACTCTCCTAGCCATTTGCAGCACCCAAGTCTTTGCAAGAAAACTCCAATATGAAAGCTTGGTTTTTCTGAACAACTGTATGAATGAATACTTCTTTCCAGCTGACCTTCCCCACCTTAGCTTTCAGCTTGTTCAACCTCATCCAGACCCTAAATGCTTCTGAACAGATACCTGTTCACATTACCTATGATGTAACAGGTACAGCAACATGAACTGTTCTTACCTGGAACTTCATCATCGTCTTCTTCTCCAGTAGCAAGTGGTGCTTTGCCATCAACAGCTATAATTAGAAATTTATAAAAACTGGGTTATTTAATTTTTCCCAAGGAGAATCCATCTGAAGTTTCCTGGACTGAAAAGACATCCCCAATTTTGTAATAATACTGAAAAGTCTGAATCATGCAGCCTAATCTGTGCATCAGGTGCAAATGACAAGGCTGAAATTTATCACTGTGCATAAGGAGCTCCTCTGAAGGAAATTCAAATTTCAACACATTTTTTTTTATACTGCATGAATCGACAGTAATGGAACTGTGCTTTAAAATAATGATGAATAAGCACCAAAGGTTGGACTTACGGTTGGATTCAAGATCCCATACAAGCATCCCACTAACCACCTCAACCCTATCTGGGGCACCTCCCACCCCCCGACCCAAAAAATAAAACAGCATCTATCCAAGCCTATATTGATGCTACTGGTAATACTCCCTCATTTCCAAATATTGTCAGTGGAGACTTTAAGTCATGTATATTGTTCCTTCTACAGTGTTTTTGTCATGCTTTTATCCACCCAATTCTACAAAGCATTCCTGAAAGAACTGATGAGTTGTAATACACTATTTGGTGGCAGATCGGAATCAAATGGTAACAATTAAATTGGCCAGCTTTTGTGCCGCACCACTTGCTTGTTGGCAAAAAATGACACCATAAATTTAGGGGAATTTTTTTCTGTATTTAATAGTGTTTGCTTTTACATGCTTTTGTTATTGATATTGCTTGTTCGGTTTTACTTGTTTCTGTCCAACCAATTAATTGTAATAAATTATTCAAATATTGTCCATATTTGTAGCCCTGCAGAGCAGTGGTTCTCAACCTGTGGGTTCCCAGATGTTTTGGCCTTCAACTCCCAGAAATCCTAACAGCTGGTAAACTGGCTGGGATTTCTGGGAGTTGCAGGCCAAAACACCTGGGGACCACTGCTGTAGAGGCTTTGCAACTGGATATCCTGCTCTAATTGTTTCCTATTTTAAACAGCAACAAACCAAAAGTGGCAAAATGGCCAGTAAGACAAATACCTGTTGACCATACTGGCCATTTCTTACTCAAAATTTTGAGGATTGGGCTTGACTCCCTTGGGAAGAATGCAAAAATAGTATGGGAGGGATCACATGTAGCCCACATTTTTCAAGGTGCAAAAATATTTGTTCTCAGTTACAATCATGCTTACGTTGTTTGGGTAGAGCTTCTGCTAGTCTTCTCAAGCTTGTCAGACTATCAGCACCAAGTTGGTTTAAGATGCTAGGAAGCATTTCAGTCAGTTGCTTTGTTTCAGCATGGCCTGTGATTGTGAAAGTATTAGCAGCTAGAGAAGCCTGGACCTTAGGGTTGTTGAAGTGGATGACAGTGCCTTGGGTGGTAAACATGTTTACCTGCAAAACAAGAAAGACAAGGCAGTCTGAATGATCAACCAATGGGCTGTAGTGAATTTGAATTTGACATTGCCACCAGCTCCTAAACTCAATGATTAAAATCAGCATTTTAAAAATTCAGGTAAGAATATAAGTGTTACCTCCTCAATGCCAGAGATATTATTTACTCCCAGCTTCTTTAAGGAAAACTGAAGTTTTTTGTCATCTGCTGTAGCTGTTCTGTGAACCACCTTCTTCTTTCTGCGGGCAGTACCCTAAGGATAAAGAGCACAATTTTCAAACTGCTGAAGTATAAGCAAAAGCTCAGCAACAGCTCAACATCATTCACGCCCTGGGAGACACACCTTGCTACCTCATAAGAGTGGAGTTGAGGACAGACATCTAAGAAAAGCTTTTGTCTGCTTGCTTCCCCCAGAAGAACATAGAGAAGCTTTTAAACACTACAAGGGTTTTCCTTTCCTCCTCCCATCAATATGTGAGAAATGTCCAACAAAGATATTATCTAGGTAAATAATACCATCATGCAGGCTATATAAAGCAGTATGGTTTCTGAAGTTATCAGCAATCCCGACTTAATATTAAATGTCTGTATTTATGCAATTCTCACAAGAACTAAGTATTCAGTTTCACAGAGGACTGTCTAAGTTTTTCAGGAACACATTCTGCACAGAGACGTCATTAAGCACTCCCACCGCCACACAGTCCAGATCTTTTGTTACAGATAAACTGTAGTGCACAATTACAAGAAATGGGGGACAAACCATCCGCAGAAATTTCTTTAGTTAAAGAAAAAATAGGGCAGGATATTACAGAAATTGGATAGCAATAAAAGCTGTTCCAAACTGAACAAAAAATAAAAGTGCAATCTAGCTCTAGTCAAAGACAACCAATCTACTACATATAACAAAGGTATGAGAATTTGAACTTCTTTTGGAGGCCTTTAGGCTCAAGGAGTGACCAAAAGTAACTTTTTTCACTTCTGATTTTTAAAAAGGCTTTTTGATTATTATTTTTTCATCTCAGAGAAGGAATGCAGCCCATGGGCTGTGCTTGACCATCTGGTTCCATGTTATTGAAAATGCCTATTTGAATCCCTGGGAAAGGAATTTTTCCCAGAAGCCACTCCTCGCAGAACTAAGTAATGGTCTCTGCATATTTGATTATAATGTCAACACTGCTTACTGTGCAATAATTCTATTAGCTTTAGCTCTAGTCTACACTAACCCACAATTAATAAAAGGGTCAGCTTCACCAAGGTTATTTCTACTACAAATTTACCATGTTTTGTGATTAAGATGGATATTATAGTAATTATCTAAGTCTGATAAACGAAAGCACACAAACTCCATAGACAGTATTTTAAGACAGCAGTAATTACTTTAGTTCAAAAGCTGCCTCTATTTAAATTAAACCAACATGATGAAACTTATTGTTTTGGGTTATAAAGCACTTCCTTATTATAGAACCTGAAAATCAACTGGCTCCACCTGGATTAGAGAGGTTTCTGATGAAATCTACATGCAAAGAAGGCTCCCTAACATGTCACAAACAAATAATGGTGACAGCACCATTCTTTAATCTCAACATTCTTCATTTATCAAAATGAACTCTATAAATTAGTGCAGCTGGATCCACTCTCAATTAAGTCAATGAACAGAAAATTACATTGCAAACGAAGTTAGTCCCTACACTTTCTTCAAGAAAATATGGAAAATTGTTTCTCTCCTTCTCATATGTCTTTGTTTATTCTCACAATTACTCTATGAGGTTACTCAGACTAAAAAAATGAAGTTAGTCTAGTTAATTCCGTGGCAGGGTTGAGACCTTGGGGATTTTTCACACCATACAATTATAGCACCATGATTCCTCTTTAATTGCCATGGCTGCATCCAATGGAATTTTGGTGCTTGGAGCAGCACTGAGAATTCTCATCAAAAATGCAATCATATTGCTGTAACTATTCAGTGTGAAAAGAGCCCGGGGGGGGGGGGGGGGGGGGGGAAGAGGAATGGGACAGATTTAAGTCTATCTTAAATCTACACTATCCACTAAATACAGTAGTTCACATACCTAATTTAACTGCATTTTCTCTTAAACATTTTAACCACACATACATTTTAGAAGATAAATGAGAGGAGAGTCTAAGAGTGCAGCTGCACTGTAGAATCAATACAGTAACTCCACTTTAATTATCATGGTTGTATGCTATAAAATCATTGGAGCTGTAGTTTTTTCACAGACAAGGCTAAAGACCTTGCTACAGCAATTTATATTCCATAACATTGAACCATGGCAGTTCAAGTCATGTCAAACTGCAGTAATTCCATATAGTAGATGCAACCTTAGACAATGCAGATGTGTGGTTCCAAAATCTGTAGGTGCCCAAGTCCCATTAAATTCAATGGCATAATAAAATGGCAACCTTTAAATAAAATGACAAAATTTGCCTTTTGAATTTTTAAAAATATTTTCAAAATGTGCAGATACAGAAGATTGACTGTGCCACATTTTCTCCCCACTCTCAGTAAGTGAATCTAAAGATTTTAGAGAGAGAAATTAAAATAATGTATGAACTACAAATGCTATGGGAGAGGGAAACAGATTTCTATGAACCGATGCAGCAAGAATCAGTAAGCAGATAAACAGGACAAAAAGGAAATAGGCAAATATAAATACAGGTGGATGCCATAAGGTATTTGATTATGTTAACAGTGTTAAAAGTTCTGATGGAATTTTAATTCATAGAGTTGGAGGAGACCTCATGGGTCATCCAGTCCACCCCCCCCCCCCCCAAGAAGCAGGAAAATCGCATTCAAAGCACCTGACAGATGGCTATCCAGCCTCTGCTTAAAAACCTCCAAGGAGCCTCCACCACACTCTGGGGCAGAGAGTTCCACTGCTGAACAGCTTTCACAGTCAGGAAGTTCTTACTCATGTTCAGGTGGAATCTCCTTTTCTGTAGTATGAAGCCATTGTTCCACATCCTAGTCTCCAGACCAAGAGGAAAACAAGCTTGCTCCCACCTCCGTATGACTTCCCCTCCCATATTTATACATGGCCATCATCATGTCTCCTCTCAGCCTTCTCTTCTTCAGGTTACACATGTCCAGCTTTTTAAGCCACTCCTCATAGGGCTTGTTCTCATTTTAGTCACCCTCCACTGGACACATTCCAGCTTCTCAACAGCTCCCTTCAATTGCAGTGCCCAGAATTGGACACAGTATTTCAGGTGTAATTGACTGATTTATTTTAACATTTATATACATGTTGTGAAATGTTTATTGCACTTTTTTTAATATTGTGGGTGCTTGCAGTCTCATACTGTAATTTATCATTGTGCCTGAGGTTTTCAATAACTAAAAAAAATGTTAAAAATTGAACAAATAATTATTTTAATAGCCTGGATATTTTTCTTCACTTCTCTCACTGATCCAACCCTACAATTGTAAGATGAACAATTAGTTTTTTCTAATTATTATTATTATTTATTAAACTTTATTTGTACCCCGCTAGCATCTCCCGAAGGACTCGATGCGGCTTACAAAGGCCAAGGCCTCAACACAACAACAGCAAACAATAACAATACAATACAAAGCAAAAATTAAAACATAAGCAATGACAAAAACATTACACTATTACACATTAAAAACAGGGCCGGGCCAATGATGGGTACAGGTTAAAAAGTGCTGGATGTGACGGTGGTATGTTGGAATTCTGGGCAAGTGCAATGTGCAGAGAGTCTTAACTCTAATAAAGTGCTTCTGGGACATGGTGCTGGGGGTTATCCTATTCTGGGAAGGCACATCGGAATAGCCAGGTCTTCAAGTTCTTCCTAAAGACTGCCAATGTGGGTGCTAGTCTAATGTCTTTGGGGAGGGTGTTCCAGAGTCGGGGGGGGGGGGCGCAACCATAGAGAAGGCCCTAATGAATACCATTACAAGATTATGGGCACATAATAAACTAGTAGAGAAATAAAAGCAATATATAAATAAAAGAATGATAATCTTGGCCCCTTCCATACAGCTGAATAAAATTCCACATTATCTACTTTGAACTGGAATATACACCAGTGTAGACTCAGAAAACCCAGTTCAAAGCAGATATTGTGGGATTTTCTGCCTTGATATTCTGGGTTGTGTGGCTGTGTGGAAGGGCCCGTCGAAAGAGGCCCAGCCTTACCTTGCCCCCAATGCGCACTTGTGCTTGCAGCTTGGCTAATTTCTCTTGATTCATGATAATTTCTTTCATCTGAGGAAAGACAGAAGAGAAATAGTTACTTAGATACGACAGAGGAAGGGCCTTTCCCCCTTGGGCCTGCGAGGCTATTAAAGGAAAGGGCCCTCGATGCAGGAAAGTCAGTCAGAAAGGCAACAAGATGCCCCGAAGGAGAGAAAGCCCAAAGCCCTTGAGGCGCCAGGAAAAGGCAAGCGAGAGCAGCCGGAGAAGCGGCCCGTATCCCTGAGGCAAGCGTGGGGGCGCCCTCCTAACCCAGGCCGAGGCTTCTTCCGGACTCACAGGCCCGTGGCGGAGGAGGCGGCGTCTCACGGGGAAAACAACCCCGCAACTGGAGACTCCTTCGCCCCCTTCTCCTAGTCTCCCGGAGCGGAAAGCCTCTTTGTACCTTCTCGGGAGGAAGCAGTCCAACCGGGTCAAGAAGAGGGAAGTCCGCCGAGGGAAGCGCAGAGCCTGGTGGGCGCACGCGGAAGGAGCCAAGATGGCGGCCGGAAAAGGGAAAAAGGAGGCAGCGGCAACGCGATGACGCAAGACGACGTAGCCACTGCGCATGCGCTGTCCCTCTCTAGTGGAGGGTTTTGCAGCTGTTTCCCAACAGGTTGCTCTCGGCTTCGGGAAGTGGGCAGGTGTGGCCCGGGGTCTTCCGCTCGGTCCTAAAGAGATACGGATTCAGTTCATTGTTTTTAGTATGACCTTTTGCTCTTCCCCTGTATTTAAAGCGATTTATTTGTCGTGTCAGGACAACCAGTCAAATTATATTACATTTCTAACAGAACAAAGCAAACAAACAGACACAATACAAAATTTGTGAGTTTGGTAGTTGATTAAATGTCCTCTGACCAGTATCTGGCCACTTGGAGTGCTTCTGGTGTTGCTGCAAGAAGGTCCTCCATTGTGCATGTGGCAGGGCCCAGGTTGCATTGCAGCAGGTGGTCAGTGGTTTGCTCTTCTCCACACTCGCATGTCGAGGATTCCACTTTGTAGCCCCATTTCTGAAGGTTGGCTCTGCATCTCGTGGTGCCAGAGCGCAATCTGTTCAGCGCCTTTCAAGTTGCCCAGTCCTCTGTGTGCCCAGGTGGGAGTCTCTCATTTGGTATCAGCCATTGGTTGAGGTTCTGGGTTTGAGCATGCCACTTTTGGACTCTCGCTTGCTAAGGTGTTCCAGCGAGTGTCTCTGTAGATCTTAGAAAACTATGTCTTGATTTAAGTCGTTGACGTGCTGGCTGATACCCAAACGGGATGAGCTGGAGATGTCTCTGCCTTGGTCCTTTCACTATTGGCTGCTACTTCCCGGAGGATTGAAAGCGATGCAAGTATTGAACATCCCGTATCCGGAATGTTTTTGTTTTTCGGATTTTGGAATATTTGCATATACATCATAAACACACAATTCATTTCTATTTCATATGCAATTTATACACAACCTGGAGGTTTTTATACACAATACAGTATACTCTCAGTTAACTGGAAACCTCAAGCAAATGGCAAAAAAACAGATATATAATACTGTATTTAATACTACTAATAATAATAACACTTTATTTGTACCCCGCTACCATCTCCCCAAGGGACTCGGTGCGGCTTACATGAGGCCGAGCCCAAACACAACAATACAAGCAATAATAACAATACAAGCAATTAAAAAACATAAACAATAAAATACACAACATTATCAATAAGACAACAATATTTATTATTATTATTATTATTATTATTATTTCGAACATTTTTACCCCCTTCTCAACCCCTAGGGGGTCTCAGGGCGGCTTCCAATTGGCAATAATTCAATGCCGCATAAAAAAATACAAAATAGCAAATATAACAATTAAAAACATCAACATTAATAAATAAAGATTAAACAGTCTACTTACGATCCATTTAGCTATTGCCAGTCTGGTGGCTATTTATCTAGGCATATACTAATGACTTATCTTATCCAAATCCACTTCCAAGCCATAGTCAAACATTATCAATTGTCCTTAACCTAATGCCCCGAAAGCCTGGTCCCACAACCATGTTTTTACCTTCTTTCTAAAGGTGAGGAGGGATGACAATGACCTAATTTCCCCGGGAAGCGAATTCCACAGGCGGGGGGCTACCACCGAGAAGGCCCTGACCCTCGCCAAACATGTTTTGAGACAAAGGCGGGGCCGAGAGCAGGGCCTCCCCAGAGGATCTTAAGCTCCAAGGTGGGACGTAGAAGGAGATACGTTCAGACAGGTATGGCAAACATTCAATGCCATAGACACACAACATATATAGACAGACACTCGGAGGCTATTAACTTTCCAGCTTCTGGCCATCAGGGGAGCTGTCGCTTCCTCATTCTTTGCATACTTCCTGGAGATTTTTTATGGCCTCGTAAATCAGTTAATTTAGCCTCCCCACAAAGTGGTACCTAATTTTCCTACTTGACAGATTCAACTGTCTTTCGGATTGCAAAGGTCAGGAACAAGCTACACCATTTTGGTCGGGAGCTCACTCCGACCCAGGCTGGCTTCGAACTCATGACCTTTTGGTCAGTAGTGATCTTAATGCAGCTGACTCCCAGCCAGCTGCACCACAACTTATTGTTGTTATTACATTTATTATTTTACTCTATTTCATGGATCCTCATATGTGTCTGTGTTTAACCTGTTGTGCTTTATATTTTACTATAAAAATCCTTTTGGAGAAGTTTGCCACAGACCAAGTTTTGTGATGATCTTTTGCCCTCATCCCCTGACCCAGGAAGCTCATCCAGCTGTCTTCCTTGGGCCTCATCTATATGAAACTGGATTCAATCACCCATCAATTTTGGGCCAGTTCATCTCTACTGATCCCATAGACCCCCAACTGGGCAGATGACAACAGTATCCATTTGCTGGCTCATCTGTCCTTTGTGCCAGTCACCTGGACATGATAATCCACACATCACCCACCATGACCATCCAGTACACCAGGGGGTCATGCCCCATTGTCACATGGTAACATTTGTGGGGCAGGGGGAGAGTGTCCTTGACAACAGGAGAAGCTGGTATGTAAGCTTTAACTGTACTGTAATTGCCACCACTGAAATCTGGTTTAAGGTTGAATAGGGGGAAGCTATGGCCCTCCCTCTTCAAGGGGAGTGTAACCCCAACCAGCACAGACTGAATCCTATACCCCCATCTGCCTTTCAAGTAACCAGCGGTATGTCTGCCTTGTCTGAATTAGTTTTCAGTGTGTTCACCTTCATCCAGTCCACTGCTTCTTAAACTCTGGGTCCTGAACCCAAATGGGGATCCCTTGGCTCAGTGCTGGGATCCTGAAAAATTCAGCAACAGAAAAAAATTTCAAAGCTGTTCAAAAGGATACCAAAGTCAATGGTATCAAAAACTGCCAAGAGATCCAGGAGTCCAGGGCACCTCAATTCAAAAAAGATATTGACAAGGTAGAAGGTGTCCAGAGAACATTAACCAAAATGATCAAAGGCCTGAAAGCCAAGCCTCATGAGAAGCAGCTTAGGGAGATGGGTCTATTTTGTTTGGAGAGAAGACTGAGAGGGAACATGATTGCCATGTTTAAATCTTTGAAAGGATAAGGTAAGCTTGGGTAAGCTTGTTTTCAGCTGCTCTAGTATGACACAGAGCAATGGCTTCAAATTGCAACTAAAAGATTCCACCTAACATTAGGAATCACTTCCTAATTCAAAGAGCTGTTGGAGAGTGGAATATGCTGCTGCCTCGGAGCATGTTGGAATCTACTTCTCTAGAGGTTTTAAAGCAGAAGCTGGGTGGCCATCTCTCAGGAGTGCTTTGATGTTGTGTTTCTGCATGGCAGGGGGTTGTATTGGATAGCCTTTGTGGTCTCTTCCGATTCTTATTATTCTGCCTCACAGAAATCCTCCATAGACACTCCTATGGCAGGCTTTCAAGGCGAAAAACAGGTGTGCTCAAACATACATAAGAGGAATTGGTTCTCAACCTGGGGTCCTCAGATGTTTTGGCCTTCAACTCCCAGAAACCCTAACGGCTAGTAAACTGGCTGGGATTTCTGGGAGTTGTAGGCTAAAAACATCTGGGGACCCTGGTTTGAGAACCACTGGACAATATACATAAAGTGAACAAATACCACTTCACATATCAGTCATTAGGCAGCATGAATAACTGCTTTGGGTTCAAGCAGCAGATGGGTGGGTAGATGTAGTTGTGAGGCACCATCTTTTCCTGTAAGTTCCCTAGGCTTCCATTGGTTTAATACTTCCTTTGTCTAAAGTGAATAGTAAGCCAAGGAAACAACTCTTTCCAAATAGCACCATAGCACAATCATAGAATCATAGCACCCATCATCCAGGGGACCATGGGACTAGATGAAATATAGGTTATAAAAGTAACATTTCCAACCTTTTTTTTCATTTGGAAAATGTTTTGACCATTGGGTTCAATTACAGTGGGCCTCTAGTAATTGCTAGAGTTTGGTTCCAGAATGCCATAAATATTGAAAGAGATGGCTGCTTCACTATATACATTGCATAGTAAAATGGTGTCCCTTATTTAAAATTACAAATGCCGGAGAAAGACTTAGGATCTGTGAAATGGTCAGAGGTGCTAGTCAGGTATGCCTAGTCACCAATGTAGTACTCATTATGTGGCAAAGTCAAGATTTTTATTTTGGTATTTGGAAATACCTAATCAAAGTGTAAGTATACTGTTTTAATCTTTATTTATTAATGTTCATGTTAAGTGTTATATTTGTTATTCTGTATTTTGTATTTTATGATGGGGCATTGAATTATTGCCAATTGTAAGCCGTCCTGAGTCCCCCTAGGGGTTGAGAAGGGTGGGGTAGAAATGTTCGAAATAAATAAATAAATAAATAAATAAATATGTTTGAGGTGTTGTTGATTAAATCCATGGATTCAGAACCTAGGGGATGAAGTTCTGACTGAATTGTCAGCAGACATCACAGGCTCTTAATTAGGAATTGTCATAATTTGTGTTAATATTATAAAATATTTTAGACCCCATTGAACTGCATTATATTAGTCTACACTGATCATACAATTCAGCTTCAAACTGCATTATATGGCAGTGTAGATGGAGCCGTAGGAAAAACCAAAGGCAGCTGTGTGTGATGTGGAGTCTGTGTTGCAGTGCGTCCATAGCAGAGTATGGAAATGGGGATGTGGTGGAATTCAGCTCCTAGAATGTCTCACTGATTGTGCTTATCTGGGGGGTTTGGAAACTGTTGTCTAAAAAGGTAACTTCTCCAATATTTCAGTATTGCATTCTTTCCTATTTCAGTCCTTTTCATCACTTCTGAGCAGTCCCCTTGGAGACAGGATTACAGGGGCTCAACATTAGTGGGCTTATGTAGGCCCTTTTACTAAACTTGCTGCCTATAATGGGGTTAGCCTGGGCATTGACCTCCAATACATTTTATTCCTCAGTTTAACATGCAAAAAGAGAGCTTTGACAGAAGACTTTACAAGCCGACTTTTCTATCCAGAGTTGTACAAAATGAGAAGACTTGTCCATTGTGAGGAAATAGGAA